TCTCAAGGCAAAACCTTGAACAGTGTCCCCCATTTTTGTCTTCCTGGGAAGCACTTTGCAAGAGATGAATGAGGGTCCCTGCTTTACATAGCACATGGGCAGCTCTAACAGGGAAGCAACACCACAGTTCATGCTTAGCCAGCTTCACTGGGGATTCTGGTTTTTTTTTAAATGGCTGGGAAATCCAAAGGTCCCACAACATCTACTTGTACATGACAGGTATATCACACATGTTAACATGAAAGACTAGTGTAAATCCAGCTATCAACATGCAAAACCCTGGCCAGATCTGTCAACATCTGGGACCAGAAACATCTCTTAAATGCTGTTTTAAAATTACATCACAATAACAAATGTAGTGATAATGAAATTCAGAGTCTGGTACCATCCAAAATTCAGCAGCTGTGGTATTTGCCATGGAGCCGAACTCACAGGTTTAAGCTGCTGGTGCTAGAAAGTGTTTCTTGTAGCTAGGCAAAGAAACTCAACACAGAGAGAAGAGGAGATTATTCCTCTGTGTGTGACCCTGGCTAAAATCGCCCATTACCCAAACTGTAGCTCTCCCTCCTGTGGTACTCCCACCTGTAATACACCTTCAGCTGTTTTTTCTGTCCCAAGGGGAAGCCAAGGTGGTGGCTGCCATGGATGGTGGGTGCACAGCCACCTCCTCCTCCAGTCACTGCAGACCTACCAGCGCAGGTCTGTGTGCTGGTTTTTGCAATACTCTGGAACAATGAACCAGTTTTCAAGCCATGGGTCACTAACTTCCCCGATGGCCCTTCACCACCAGTTAGGAGAATGCTTTTCTGAAAGGTCTAAAGTCATCCATTATTTAATCATCTGAGCTTTCCACTTATCCCATCTCATTTTCTCTCCAATTAATTTGATGTGAGGAATTTCAGGTGTTCATTGAGGAGTTGGGAACACCTTTGCCAAATAGCCCTTTCTTTCTTCCCCGCCCGTCAGTCTCCAGCCACCTTGCACAGTACCCCAGGCCAATGCCAAGGCCAGTGAAAATTCCTCCTTTCACTCACTCACATTTCACTTCCACAGGAAAACTCTCATCCAGATCACTGCTCAGAAAAACCATGTCTTCCACCAGGGCAACCGCTGCCTGGCGCCATTTGAGTCTCCAGAGAAGAACCAGCTCCTGTGCCTGGCCAGGGTCCTGCCTCCCAGCAAGCACTGAGAGCACATACCAGCAGTCCCACGCAGCCCTCCCAGGGCTCATCTTCTGGAATTGTGGGGCCGTGGGGAAAGGGAGAGGGAAGAAAAGAGAGATGCAAGCCCTTTGACCTACACAGAGCAGCTTAAAGGCATTCGACTGCCTCAGAAAGAAGAGGCAAATTTAAGGAACCCGCAGCCAAGAAATTGTTTTGCTGAGTTTCAAATCTCATTTTAAAGCTTATCTCATCTCATGCAAAACTAGAAACAACACTGGACACACTTTCAACCTGATAAGGGGAAAAATGTGTTGAGTAACAGCCAGTGCAACTGAAGGGAAGTTTGCTGCACACACACACACAAAAAAAAAAAAAAAAAAAATCTTTCTCAGAAAGCATGCTTCAGGAAGACAGATAAATACCCGTACTTCCACAGTGAAGCCAAACCACTGCAATCTCCAGGAAGGCTTGTGCAGCAACATACCTACAGATCCCCACCACTTTATTACTGTCCCTTAGCTGGAGATGATAGTGTCTCTAGATCAGCCTCCAGAAGAACTGGTGTGAGCTTTCCCTAATCTGCCTCAGGACAAACTCCACCAACAGCCAAGGCTCCCTTCACTGACAGGCGAAGCTGGACAGGCAGCAGGCTGCTATTTGTCTATAGAGGTTCACATAGCTTTACATATACTATCACTATTTTGGTTTCTCGCTCTGATTCTAAATCAAGGAATCGTGAGAAGTAAGAAATATTGTTCTAAAATTGGGTGTTAAGAGCTATGCACACGGCCCCATCTCTGAAGTGACTATATGGAAGAAAACCCCAGAGACCTCAACGCTCCACAGAATCAGATCCTAAATCTTTGATCCAGTCTTGAGCCCATTTGAAAGTGATGAAAGGGCTCCAAGGATGGAGTTGTGGCTCTAAAATTGGAGAAGTGCTATGTTGAATGTGCTATTTTGCCACCTTCTTCAGCTACAGCAGGGGCAGCTCTTCATTACAGCCCCCAACTTGCTCCTGGCTGGTTATCAGCATGCCCAGTGGAAATCCCTCCAAACTGCTGGAGCCTTTCGAATAAACGGATCCAATTAGCAAAGCTTTACAACTGCAGCTGAAACAGTAGAGAAGGATCATACCAGCCACCAAGCAGGCAAATCGGAGGAGGACAAAGCTTCCAATAGGTCACGATGAGCAGGTGGGAAGAAGTAACTGTCAGCTGGAAGAGAAATGTGAACAGAGCCTTACACTTTCTCAGCAAGCAATTCCCCAGAGGGGCTGCAGGAGCAGCCCCAGCCTCATGTTAGCACTTTATTTATAGCATTGCCTTCCCGTTCGTAACCTTCCCAACTGAGAATTGCAATTTTTCTCCCCCCAGCATTGTGGTGATGGTTTGGAGCATGGAGATGTTTGGAAAGGGGCAATTTGGCATCAGGAGTCTAAAAAGCAGATACAGATGACATCCTAAATGTATCTTTTATGAGTTTGGAATGATTCCTTTAAATTAAGCTCAGAGTGTGTGACAGCTTCTGGTAGTGCCGCCAGTAAGGAAATAAACCATAAAAATCAAGAAGTTCTTGAGCATATGTAGTCTTAAAGATCGTGTCCTCTGGGCACCTTGCTTTCCCTCATGCCACTTTGAGCTGCAATGTACCAAGTGCTTCCCAAGGAAAGTGCTCCAATAATTTTCAATTGTCTCTTCACCACATATGCCCTCAAACCCCAACACACTTCCAAATTCAAGGCTTATAAAAAATTAAATGCTCCAATAATTCTAAATTGCGTTTGTTCAGTGCTACTGAAGCCTGTCCATTCCTTCAGTTTGGGGATTTTTTTTTTATTTGCAGGGGAGGAGGAAGAAATGCTTTCTGTTAGTGCTTCAAATTGGAAGCTGGTCAAACAGTATCATAGCAGAATGATTCAGCAGCCTGTGAGCTGATTCACAGTGTGTCATAAAACAAGATTAGGAAAACAACAATGCCTGGAGGAGAAAGAACCCACACAACGAATCACGGCAGGAGAACAATACCAGAAAGGAGCAGGGGGAATAATCTTCACTTGGTTTCTGAGGAGCAGGTCGTATGACCTAATAGATGGCTTTCAATGCCCTTCATTCCCCACTGAGTTGCAGGGTTCAGCTGCCCAAATCCAGCCACCACAGCTTAATAAATGGCTCTGCATCAACGGAACCACATAAAGTGTTTCTGTGTGCACACCCACAGCCTGTCATTTATCTGAGACCACAGTCCCTCTCTGGCACAAAACCCGGATGCTATTTCACAGCAGGTGGGAGCTTATGCAGAGCTACTGGTAGAAGTTCACGACCATTTATGATGGGAAGCAACAGAAACAATCTGAGTCTGAGAGTCTTCCAGTTATAAACAAAAAAGTGAGGTTTTCTCAGTCTTACTCAAGAAGACACACACACAAGGCAGCACATTAAAGTAGCAGAGGTGTCAAGCTAAGCATATACCCTAGCACTGTCCTGAACAGGAATAAAATTAAACATGTATTTTATGATCTCCTGAATGAAAGCATCAGCAACCACCTATGGCCAATGCCAAGATGGCAGAAGATAGTGGCATTTAAAATATATTCTCTGTGAACCTGAAGATCCTGTAAATTAGGCCATACCTGTTACAACTGTGGCCTTGGAGCGACCAAGGAAGGCAGAGGCTCTCTCAGGGGTTTTACTAGATCAGCAACAGTTGAATTTCTTCTATGCAGAACATGAAATCACATCTTCACACAAGCAAGGAAAATCAGACAATTGTATCACAATTCCAATAAAATAGCTATATCCAAAGTTTAGTAGACAGACTCAAAAACAGGGAGAAAAAAGCAAAATCTCCTATGCCATGATCTCCTCTAGTAGACTGAAAAAATTATAAAGTGCATCCTTGTTTAACTCCCTGGAGGATGCCTGGAATTTTATAGAAGCTGCTGCAACACGTTTTCCAGTGGGGAATAACTGAAGCATGAGATAAGAAATCAGCCATATCCTAACTTGCAGCAGCAGGTCCTGTAAAAGGAAATGCCCAATAAAGGCTTAATATATAAGATGGCAAATAACTTCTTGGATTTCTGAAATAAGAAAGCGTAAACCCATTCTCTAATCACGTCTAATCAAACACCACCACCAGTTGCTAAAAACTTCTAGGAAAAAAAAAGGTACCAGAGAGATGGTAGCATGCATATCTTCTTCAGTAGTGTTTTGGGAATATTTTAGCCTGTACAATTTAATTCCCTGTTATTACTTCTGAGCCTGGAGGTGAAAGTCATAAATCAGGAACATTCATAACATGCAATAATGGAGCGAAATACTCATAAGGAGAGTTATATGATTAAATCCTTTGGGATTGTGTGTAACACTTCCAGTACTTGATGATAGCATTAAAAATTCTTCTGTCGATAACATCTATTCTTCCCTAATTCCTATACTGGGTTTTCATTCTTTTCAGCCAACATCATCCAAATTTTGCTGTCATATGGCATTCCTTCCACCCTTCCTCCCTGCTGCCCTAAATATATGTTTAAAACAAAATCATAGGAAAGCATTCCATGCTTAAAAAGATGGGCAGGTTTGAAATTACACTGTATTTACTTATAAGGGCTTTTAATACTAGAGGAGCTTTCCCAGGGAGTTTTGCTCCGATTTCAGGACCCCCCATTGTTTTTATAGAGGGCTATTTGGTCCCATTTAGAAAGTGGCTACATTTTGAGTAATAAATGCTGTAAGTAATGCTTTGAGTAATGCAATGCTATAAAATAACATTGTCCCCACCCCTCTTTCACTCTCCCAGCTACTGAGTTAAAAAAAAAAAATCCCAACCCATGTGTTAGAGCTTTGTTTTCTGAGTGACAAGACTAATCATGTTTCCTCTGCTTGAAGTCTCTCTCTTCTCTTCCTTTTCTTCTAGGTCCTCTGGATCCACATTGACATAGAAATATCCCATGATGGAGAAAATAATGCTCACAGCAAAGAGGAGAACAGTGAACAAGACAAATTCAGCCCACTAGGAAAGAAAAAAAACAGCAGGTCAGGGGACCCTCAACTCTCAGTCCAGAGGATTTCTATGCACTTCTAAGCGCTTTTTAAAGAGTTGGGTTAAAGTTACTTTTTAGCTTCCGAGATTGTTCACAAGATAGAAACTTTCTCATCCTGTTTTCTGGTAAACTCATGTACACATAATGTAATTATGAATATGTGATATGACTTGAAACAAATCAGTTAGATTGGTCTGGTTTCATTAAATCTTTTCTTACAAATCTGTCCTGAGTGGAACATACCCGCCTGGGCTTTTTGCTCACAAGGTGCCTTTGGGAGAGGCAGTTTCGTGTTATGCAGAAATGAATGCCATTTCGCACCTTCGTGCCATCATCCCAGAAGTCTGATAGCCCGAATTAAACAAGCTCTGCACCACCACCTCCCCGTGCAAGCCTAACATCTCAGGGGTGCCACAGGCAGCTGGCCCTGAAGGAGTCCCAGACTAGACACTGGGCTAGCGGGATGAAGGCAAGCTGCTTTCAGTAAGCAACTGCAACACGTGGCTGCCATTGTGTCCAGGCTCCAGGCCCAAATACCGCCTGCTTGCCTAGAGCTGAGCTCCAGCAATGTTATCGCCGTGCAGGTCACTATTATTTACTGCCACTGGGAGGTTTAGGGAGAGCCACTGCTCCGGAGGGCAATGCAGAGCCCTGGCTGGGAGGCAGCTCGGGGCAGGCTGCCACCACCCCATTGCAGGAGCCTGGGGCTGTGCAGAGAAGCTGTGTCTTCAGGACACGGACATCCAGAAGCACCATCCAGGCCTGTTTTAAAGCATTACCTCTGTTTTAAGAGCTGAACCATACCTGTGCCATTGGTGCAGCCTGTGCAACAACGAGCACAAGGGTATTCCCAACAGCCACTGTGAGCAGCCAGCCTGCCTGCAGCACCGACTTCATGCTGGCCGGAGACTGAAAAGAGAAGGGCCTGGTCAGTGGGTAGCATGCTGTGCCCTTCTGCTCTGGTTCATCTTGTGATGTCCTGCCCAGTATAGGTGTCACTGGGCTCAGCCTAAGAGGAGGTGGTAGAATTTCTTCGGTGCAGAGTCTCCTCTGTGGTTAATTTCAACAGCTGCATACAAGAAGCATTCAAAACGTCCTCCAGGAGGACACATGAAGAAAGAGGAGATGCTGTTGTTGCAGAGCTGGATCCTGATCATCCCCAACCTGCACCATCTGAAATTGTACGATCAGGAGTTCAGGGAGGTACACAAGCTCTGCAGCTTGGAGTCTGGTGCCACATGGCCGTACACCTTTGGAAAAGAGACTGGATCTTGATGTCAAACTTTCTGCTGATGACAAACTTTCCACATCCCGTGACAGATCATCCCACTGTATTGATCGTCCTCATTAATAAACAACTGCACTTTACTCCAAGGACAAATTTGAGTAGCTTCAGCTTTTTGATCGTGTAACATCTCAGTCCCCTCTCCTCATAAGCCTTCTCCCCAGACAACAATCGATTCATCCCTTGCACACTCATTACCCCTTCCCTCCCTTGTTAGAGACTCATGTAAGCTTAGACCCCTTCAGCCTCTCAGCTTAAAGCAGGTTCCAAGCCCCCATGCCACCCTGTAGTCCTTGAGATACCTTTGCCTTTTTATCACTGGAAAATACGTACCACAAAATATTTCACTGGGAGAAAAAACTGATACTACAGTATTCAGAGTTTTCACATTAAAATAAACTTCTATCCTGTTCTATGTTCTCAGCTTTACCAGAAAAGGAGTTTCCTGAGTATAATTGAGAATAGGTATCTTCAGAGTATGAATTAATTTAGTTTAAGGGCACCCAGCAAGTTGTGTTATAATTCCACTTTTAGCTGAACCACAGATAACACTGTCAGTAAGCATCATGCCAGAGGACGTATTACAAGTCAATAGCAGATGCAGGAATAAATCCTGAAGTCTAATTGTAAGCCTAATCTAAAGTCTAAAGTTTAAGTGGAGTACCTGAGAATAGGAGAAGGCCAGACCTGTGATGGAGAACATCACCTCCCCAGCAGATATTAATAAGTATTGTGGTAACTGCCAAGCCATATGGACATTGTTGGCTTTGATATCTTCTGACTTCCATGTCTTAACAGCACCTCCAGAAACCTAGCAGGAAAATAAAGCCACACTGATTAGCTGCTCAAAGATCAGATCCTTCTTAGCCTAGACTCCAACAGCAACTTTACCAAAATGAAGTTTTAACTAAAGGTTGAAGCAAAGCTCTGCCCTGGAAGCAAAACTCTGGGTCTGACCTCTGCCACTTCCAAGCTTGTTGGAAACAGGCTGACTCCTACTGCACAGGGCAGAGGTGGCAGGATGAAAGTATCCCAGCTCATTCATGTGCTCCATGAGTTGCATGAATGATTGTAAACCAACTAGTTGCCTTCTGTAGTGGGGCTGGGAAAAGCCTATGTGGTACTTGTGCAGAGCCTGTGACCTGCTACTGTCCCCAGGGCCAGAAGAGGACAAGGGGATAAATGCTCATTGCAGCCATGTGGCCACCGCTCCCATTTCACCGGCACTGTACAACTCCCCTACTATAATGATGACACCCAAACAAATCTGGTTCAGGAACACCAAGAGTAGCAGAGACTGCCCTGTATCAGATGTATTCAGACAGTTATGGTAGCTGTATTCCTCATTCTTTTTGTTTGCTTTCCCAGGTGTAATTATTACTGCCTCTGATGCAGAGGCAGAGAGAGGGTTGACTAGTAGCCAGGAAAACACTAGGCTGAAATGACTTCAGGCAGAAAACCCTGTGTTTAAGGAGAGTACTTGGGAAAATACAAGGGATGTTTACGAGATGTACTTAATCACCATGCAGGGAGGCAAATCAAGAGACTGTATTTTAGCAGGCTAAAAGGGGTGAGGGGAGAGTTGTGTATTGCTCTTTAGCCCATAAAGAAATGTCACAAGCACCATACTGTAACTGCACACTGAGGAAGGCTGAGTAGAAGGCAGCTTCCCCATGATTTAAGTATCACAGTTCAGCCACATTAGCAGACTAATATATTGCATTCTTGGTTCTATATAGCACTCCTGGCAGAGGAGCAGGGCTCAGTACAAATCACTGCAATAATTAAAAATTATCTTGGCCAGGAGCAAACTAACTCTCTATAGAGGGAGAAAACCACAGGGAGAGAGACAGAAAAACAGAGGGTCAAAAAGATTAAAGGACTAGCACAGGGTCCAGAAGGGCTGAGATGCAGAGCCACCCCTGAGCAGCCATGGCTATAGCAGGGACTTTTGTGGATGGGACCACAAACTGAAATCCTTGCCAACAGTGACATGGGACACATCTACCTCAACTGGCCCTGACTCAGTTGCACTACCACAGGCTCTGGGGCAATATTCTTAGTGTAATATTCTTCATGGAACTGCTACGCTCGTTTTCTCATCTGGTGAAAGAGGCTTGCAGTCTGGCCAACATCAGTTCAAGAGTGTATGTGTTTCATGTACATAAATCTCTGCACTCACAGATGGCAGCATCTGCCTGTTCCCTCCAGGACTGTGCATCCCACTCCAGCTACTGGAGTTAAAAAAAAAATGCCAGGTGCTTTGCAGCTATGTATTTCCCCCTACGTATTTGGACTCTGCAGACATGAACAGCTCCCATTAATTGCCCAGCAGGGAGATGTTACTGCCAGGGAGTAGCTGACAGCACTTTGCTCTCCTCATCACAACAGAGTAGTCAGTCTCAGAGGGCAGCTTAGCAGTGTGTCCTGTCAGACCTGGTTTGTCTGTGTGCCTGTGTAGTAGAAAGGTTAAAATGAGAACTAAGCTGATCGCGTTCATCTCTCTGGCTCCTGCCAGCTGGACCAGGGCTGGAGCAGTGTGCCGAAGAGGCTGGCAGGCAGGGAAAGGAATCCACCCTCTCAGCAGTGCTCACACCTTACCCGAGCTAGGTTGTTCAGAAAACTATGCCTTGACTTTACACCAGGTTCTAAACGAGCTGTACAGACAGTGAGAGGAGGAAAAACAGATGCACAGTCTCACCAACCTCCTCCCTCCTCAACACTGTGTCCTTCTTCTCCCCCATGCATAATCCACAAGTCTTGGAAGATCAGCCTTTAGATCAGTAAGTTAAATGCGAGGATACAGCAGACTGTTTCTGCAGAGTTTTTCAGGTGTTAGGTACCACCAGGTACAGTATTTTAAAGACCACAAGCAGAGTCAGTTCTTGGCAGACTGTAACAGTTCTTTGCAGTGCGCTGGGTCAATGTTAACTGAACGAGGATGGCATGAGACCAGCACAAACCATGGATCATATGATTTTCCATGGAGGATTTCCATCAAGGAAAAGATCTTACTTCTTATTTAAACCATGAGATCCGACAAGATCACAGCGTAAGATGGAATGAGTACCTCCCTCGACCTGCTGGACACACTTCTTTTGATGCGTCCCAGGGTACAGTTGGCCTTCTGGGCTACAAGTGCACATTGCCAGCTCATGTCCAGCCTTTCATCCACCAGTACCCCCAGGTCCTTCTGGGCAGGGCTGGTCTCAATCCCTTCATCCCCCAGCCTGTACTGATACAAGGGGTTGCCCTGACCCAGGTGCAGAAGAAAGCAAGTGAGAGTCACAGATATAAGAACAAAAGCACTGACAGAAACTAGAACAGAAGGAGCTTGTTACCATCACAGAGGCACTTACATTAGTTATCACAATGGTGTATGACGCGCCGAAATCGAGCAGCCCTAGCTCCAGGGTGAATTCTCCTGTTTCAGTTATGCATTTTCCATTATTATATCTAGATGCAATGATGAAGTACAGTATTTCCCAGTTAGTCCCACAAAGAGCACAGAGCAGAGCTAGCAAACATGCCCCTACAATGGAGTAGGGAGGATGTATGATGTAAAGCTGCAGTAAAGTTTATGTCAGACAATCACTAGAGTTCTTGCCATCTTTTCCTTCCAGAAACACTTAGACACTGACTGAAGTTCACCTAGTGACCTGGGCTATTGTTTACTTTTTAAAGTGGTTTCTGCTTCTTCCTAGCACTGATTGGGGTTTTTTTTCCCCCCTCAGGTTTATTTTCCTTCCAAACTTTTCTCCACTCCTTCAGGAAACTGTGTGCCAGAGAAATGAGCTAGGCTCAAGTGGCCTTCAGGAAATCAGAGATATGCACCCACAAGCCACTTTGTTTCCTTTCAGTAGAGCAAATTAGTCTTCATATTTGTTGTTCTGATTTTGGATGTGTGAGATGGCACAGAGGCTCAGCAGCATTGCCACAATGGCTGCTGCATCCTACTAAATTGCAGCATAAATATTTTGGATGGAGCTGATGCAGAGAAAAGCCATGAAGCTTGTTTTGAAACACTGCAAATGCCAGAAATACCCTACAAGAGCCAACTCCAATGCTGCCAAACCAAGGCCATATGGAGCCCCTGTCTAACAAGCCCAGCCTGCAAAGCCATGTAATGTTATTTGATGTTACCAGCCCACATACCAACGCTTGGTAGTGTGGAATATGAATTGGCCTTTCCCTGAGAGCACCCTAACACTAGGATCTTGGGCCTGAGATAATACCAAAACAGAGCAGGCATCAAATGGCAGAGGGGACTTCACCAGGTCGCACCTTACTCTGCTGACAGATGCACAGGAATGGCCAGTGTCTTCCCTCCAAGCCCCCATATAATGTGAATAAAAGCTCAGAGAAAGTTAAATGGTGTATCTGGACTTCTTCAAAAGGCTTTTTGGGTTTCCAAAATTCCCCTGACCTGACTCTGAAAAACTCAGATTATGGCCTAAATTAGGATGTCTTTATATTCGCGTCATGGGAATAAAGTTTCCAAGCTTTGTCCCTGCTGATTTTATCTTACCAAAGCAGTAACAGCCACGGGAAGGGAGTTATCCCAGACATTGTTTGGAAGCTGAATCTATTTAACTGCATATTATACATCGAGATACTGATTTGCTGTCCTTTGGCTTGGACACTTCGCAGACTAAATGTGTGGTGCTTCTGCACACACACAAGTGGCCCGAAGCACCTCTCTGTGCAGAGCCAATAATTCTGCTGTTTTACAAACATCTGCCCCACAATCAAATGCCAAGACAATAGCAGTGGAGGTTTTGCTATTCACCCAAGAAAAGCCCCATTATATCCAAGATAAGGCCTCAGCAAGGACCTTCAGCACAGCAAGGGAAACTTACTTGTCCCTCTCTAGCAGCAAGTACTCAGAAGCGCTGTAGTTTTTCTGAACTGCAATGAACCGTTTGCTGTCAATGGTGAGGTTGACATCTTGGCTCAAACCATTAATGAATCTGCAAAGAAAGCATATTTCATTGGGTTGTCAGACAGGGCAGGAGAAGCACAGTATCAAACACTTTAGAAGAGGCGTGCTCTCTCTCCCAAAGCATTCTGTAACTCCATAAAGTTATGACAGCCTCTCCTGCAAGCTACCAAAATGTTCGTCTGATTCATTGCCCAGTTTTATCAATAATTGGGGTTTTTTTTCCTGTGTAATTTTACCCGCTGTGTAATTTTACCCTCTTACTCTCTTTGCTGTGAAAAGTGACCCTCACTTTTTGTGGGTTCAGACTTCCAGGCAATCTTTTCTCAGAGACCTTCAAAGGTTGTTCTGTGGCTGTTTGAGAAGACAGAGGCCCAGCCCACCCCAGGAAACTATAAAGTTGGGTGTCCTGATAAGCACGTACACCGTGCTGGCATCACCTTCCAGGGAGCTTCTACCAGTGGGAAAGACTTTTCTAGCAAAATAAGATATTTTCCTCAAAACCAAAACTTTCATGGGAATGTTCAGGTTTGTTTTGATTTTTTTTTCCCCACACAATGTTTACATGCTTTTCAATACACAAAAGAGTTTCCTTTTGACAACTCAAAAATCGTTAGCAAAGCCAAAGACATTTCATTTGATCTGACTGTTTTAAAATACTTTGGTTTTCAGTTCTTTAAATGGGGGTGAAATCCCTGAGGATAGGTAAGTGCTTAACAAAAGTAACTTTTTTAGTGGAAAAATAGTGTCTTCCTAGTAAAACTTCGTCACAAATTGTTGAAGGGAAAGTTTTTGGAATTGTATCACAAATGTTTACAGGAAAATACAAAAAAATTCCTGAATGCAGGTATTAATCAAGTCTCCAAACTGGTGTTTAGTCAGTAGAAGCTTTCACAAGCACAGGGTTATGAAGAGATACAGCTCTCCTGCTCTGTCAACACAGGCTTTCAGATAAAGGAGTTGAACATTGTTTTACTCTATCTGAAGTTTTTGAGGGTTTTTTTTGTTCGGTTGGGTTTTGGTGTGTTTTTTTTGTTTTGTTTTAAATTGTATCTTTCCCAAATCCTCCAGAAAGTCCAGCTGGAATCCTTTTTTTTTTTTTTTTTTGCAAATCTGCTGCTTCTGCATTTCAGCCTGACATAGGTCTGGTGATATGGTGCTGCAGGTAACTGTGACCTCAGTGAGATGGCATCTCCGCACAGGACTGTTCATGGACTACCTCAAATTAGGAAAGCAGGCTAGCTGCTAAAGCAGAGCCCAATGTCCAGCTGAATTGTTTACAAGGATGTAAAATTGTTGCTGTATCCAATTTAGTAGACATTTGTGCATGATATTGGGTGGGATAAACAAACGTCATGAGTTGGCCAGTTTGCAGAGGACAAATGGCAATGGCACTTTTCCAAATTGCTTCTTCCCCAAGGAGGTGGGACACAGTGAGATGAATTTACCACTCTTGCAAGGGAGGAGACCTTTTATATTGCCATCTCAGCCCAGACTATTCTAGGTAGTAAGCAGCAATAATGCTCAGCTCTGCATGGCAAGTGTGGGAGGTGACACACTGTCAAGTTTCCGCAGCTGACACCCAAGTCTTGCATGAGAAGTGTAGACTAGATTCCAACATAAGAACATCTGGGTTATGTTACGTACAGTTTGCACTAGACAAAAGCAGTTTCCCCTCACCCCACCACCTCCAAATCCTCAAAAAAAGCCATTCCTACCTAACAGCTGCCAAACCATTTTCTGGCTTTGCTTCCAAGTCTGTAATCTAAAGAGGGGAAGAAAAAAAAAAAATCAAACATATTTATTAATGCTGCCTTATAACAATGTGTAGCAGAAAATACTAGTGGAGTTACTAGCTTGTGGAGTTACACATGTGTTGCAAAGCCCATGGAAATCAACTGGACTCTCACATAAGCTTTACATCAGGACACAGATGTGAAGTCCTGGTACAATGAAGCCAACAGCAAAATTTCAGCTTCACCGATGGCTTAAGATGAGATCATACCTTGTTTTTCTCATCTCCCGCATAAAAAAGGCTACAGAGTTTCAGCCAGTCACCCTTCTACTGAGGCATGTAACACCCTCCAAAAAAGTATTTGTCTTGATCTGAAGCTATCAAGAGAGCATTATCCACATTAGCCTCTTTCAATTATTAGTTACAATTAAACACGAGTGCCTTACCCCTACAAAACCTGCAACTGCCCAACTTTCAGACCTTGATTCCTGGCATACTCACAGTCTTCACAGAAGCCTAAAGCCAAGATGAACCAGTAGGTTACTATTATGATCATCATGTATCACTCATGTTTTCCCTGACCCTCAATACTCAAGAGATTAAACTGTTGTATGGTGCAGGCAGAGAGCAGGAGAGACCAAGATGCACTGAGTTTGCTTGCGCTCATAGTCTCTGCAGACAGATCCCTGAAATGGCCACCTGGTTGGGCACACTGGGGACTGAGTGTGTCTTCTGCAGATCACAGCTAGAGCATCAGTTCAATAGTTAACATGATTTACATTCATTCAAAGAAACGCTATTTGGTGTACAATGCTGAAAAAAAGACAGTAAAGACACAGCCCTGCCCTGAAGATTGTATGTCACATAAAAAGAATACTGAGCAAGGTTCTTGGCTGGTAGAAGTCCACACTTGTTCCATGTCTACTTAAGCTGGCAGGGTAATTTCAATTTGCACTGCCCACAGACAGAACCCAGGCAAGCCAAAAGAGACTGAATCTACCTTCAGAAACTGGCTTTCTCTTAAACTTTGCTAGCCCTTTCACCACACTTTCTTCCTGATGTTAAACCCTGAGCTTCCGAGAGCAAGGATCCAGAATTTCAGTATACCTATAAAATGTCCATTGTACTTCAGTGTGATATGCTGACCCACAAATAATGTATGCTTTAAACAGTAAATAGCCACAGTAAATAATAAATGTCAAGTAATAAATAATAAACAACAACATCTTTTTTTTTCCATGGGAGACACATGGGGATTAACACTCTAGTTCATTGCCGCCAGGCCAGCCAAATTATTACTTGCTTTCATGGACGATCCCCAGAGCTCTCAAATTCATTTCCTGCCTACTCAACAGTCCACAAAGGAGAAGAAACCGATTTCAGATTGGATCCTTCCAGGAAAGCACCCCCCACCTGAGTGAAGGGGCCAAACCCAGCAGTGAGGGAGGCTGGCATGGGCCATGGCTACTACAGGGCAAGCCCTGCAACACCCCAGTGATGCTGGCATTGCCTTCCTTGTGCTGCAATGCTGGAAAAGTGACTATCATCAACCACACTGCCTTCCACACCTCCCTTATCTACAGCTGAGAATGACAGGTCAATAGCATCACCCAATGGCAGATGGGAGCCTGCCTGTGCCAGAGCGGGCATTAATTTAAGCGCAGGCTAGATAGCTAGGGCAGCACAGAGATGTACTGAAGCTCAGAGGTTGCTTTGCTCTAGCCTGTCGCAGGCTTTCCCTTCTTAAGGACTGTATGAAAATGACTGTACTAGTGTCCATTTCTTAAGGTAACAGCACACAATCATTAGGGTCACAGGGAAACTTAACAATATTGCATGATAATGAGCTCCAGGCTCTAAACCATAAAGCAGCAAAGAAGCCCCAATGTTAGGAAAAAATAAATACTTAAAACTCCTCATTTTTAAAAACAGTTATGTGATTTCTACTATACAATATTGAATGCTTGGTGTGGCAATCCTGCAAGGTAGGTGGCTGAGGAACTGCAAAGAGAATTGATATTTTAGCATGAGGACAGATTCTGATGGCATTTACACACCTGCCACAATATGCAATAACACCATTCATTTCAAGAGAGCTTCTTAGGACACAGCCACACATAAACGATATCAGAATCCAGCCCTATACATCCCATATGCCTCTCTGTTGCAGCAATACACAAAAGTCCAAACACAGCCGGCTCTGCTGCAGGGCCTGAAATGAGTTTAATCATTTATTCTGTTCAGCAAAAACAAATGGGCCTTCTGTGCATTTTCACTAAACACTTGCAATAACTAAACCCAGAATCATTCCTCTGATGCTTTTATTCTATGCCCAGCCCTAGAGCCTCTTTAACATCTTTGCTTTATAGAACCATCTTTGGGGGAAAATCTCTGGCTCTCTGTTTCCTCAGCTTTCTCAAGGTCTGCTGCCTAGCAGGCATGACTCTGCTCTCCCACTGCAGCATTCACTGGATGAAAATGTGCCCAGAAACTCTCAGATGCCATAACACCTCTATTAATCAACCAGCAGAAATACATGCAGATCCAGTGCCGCTAGCTAAGAAGTCAGGTTTAGAGCATCTGAGAGCAATCAGACAGACATTGCAACTGAGCAAATGAATTAATGAGCCTATTACCCCATTGTATCATCACAGCCATCGAATTAATACTGTATTTACACTTCACTCCCACACTCACTAAGCGGCTTGATAGGCTTCCTTCTGCCTCAAAAACAATTAAGCTGTATACTGATTTTTCCTTCACAGTGTAGTTAAAACCAAGAGACAATCCTTGATGTTGCAGGGTGAAGAGAAGGCTCTGTTGCTCTCCGTTCAATATTAACTTTGAGTACTCAGCTGGGTTCTGTGGAAAAAACAGACTTGGTTACACTTTCTTCAGATGAGAAAGGACCTGGGTCTTCCTACCAGTTGCAACCCTATCCTCTCTTGAACCTGTAAGGAGAGGTTAACAGTCAGAGCTGTCTTCTACAGCAAAGGACCTATGTTGACCTATAGGCTGGTCAAGTCAGAGCTTGGAGACCCTTCCCCAGCTGGATGCAACCCAAACGTCAGGGAACACCTTCCCGCACAGCTACCCTTTCCCCTGGCCCTGGTCTGCCCAGTTGGGACCAAATCTAAAACATGGCAGGCGCTGGTGGCCAATGGACTGGTGGGCTGAGTCCCAAACTAGCCTGACGTGTAAAGTGATCTGGAAGCTGAAACAGGAAACAACCCAGTGCCCATGCCCAGTTAACTGTCTTCCCATTTCTTTCCTCCTTTGCAGGAAAATACTTTTCAGATGCTATCTAGATCCCAGCAGCAATGCCTGGTCTGAGCACCAGGAGATACAAGTTGAATGTCTCTACGTGCTCATCTCAGGACAATTATCCTTTATTCCCAATTACAGGTGAATGTAGTTAGCCATTTCCTCCTTTGCCATGGAAATATGTCTCCAAACTTTCCATTTCTGTCTCAGTGGTGATAATACGCTCCATTTTTTAAAGCTATTCCCATGCACTTTTAAGGTGGTGGTGGAGAACAAGCTCTAATATCTGTGGGCTTCATAAGAAAATGCCTGAAAAAAAGGCCACCCTTTCTTCAGTGGGATGCAAGTCAAGCCTTCCAGCCCCACATATATGCTTACCTGAAAAGCCTCCACGGGCTGCTGAAAGAGGTCCCGGTCTTGGACTGTCACTCGAAGAGGGTTCTTTGCCAAATTCAGGACCCGAATTAAACTTTCTTCTGGGACAAGTCGAGGCATATCGGTTTCCTAATTAAAGTAAAAGGCTTTAAGTGCCATCTGTATGCTTTATTAGCACTTCAATATCTCTTACTTTTTAGCCATAATAGTCTTCCTCTCTGTAATGATGCTTTTCCATCCCTTCTTCATCAGAAGTTGCACTGAGAGAAAACTAAACATAAATCTTATTTAGGGAGGTTTCCTCATAGTAGCTTAATAGCCAACCTATCATTCCTCCCAAAAGCTGCTCTGTACATCACTAAGTGTACAGGCTACACTGGGTAGGTAGAGAAACGTCACAGTTTTCATTATACAGCTCCCTAGTGCCTGGATTTAACCAACTGACATATCAGAATGGAAAAAATTGTGCTTAGCTTTCAAAAGCAGTCACCAGAATAATTATTTCCCACTACAGTCAGTGACTCTGGAAAAGAATTAGGCTAGAAGTTAAGCAGTTTTGAAAATCCCAGTCCAGCTCCATGTCTGTAATCAGTGCTTTTGCACCACTTGACACCATGCTATCTAACAGCCAACTGTATAGATGTTATTCCCTGTTTTCTGAGAAAGGGAAGATGATGCCTCCAGCACAGAGGTATCTCTTTCTGTCAGGAATCATCTCCTAGAAAGGGTACATTGATCAGCGTCAGCCTCGTACTACCTGCAGATCTAAAATTATTTTTTGTTAAACTTCTCTTTGTTTCTCTCTATTTTCAAGTAGCTGCTAGCAATACTTCAGAGATATTAATTTTTTTCTCTCTCATCCTAGAATTTGGGTATTGCAGGCAAGCAGTTTGAACCCAACTCATTGGGGAGACACACTAGCAGAGAAAACAGGGCGATGCCAATTTCCCTGTACCCATATGCTGCTCTGAACCAACGAGTCTGTTAATGTTATCCAGCAAATTCCATTACTGTGGCTTTTTACCTGTGCTACCCACAGCCAAGCCAAGGTGGGACATCCTATGCCCCTCTTTGCTAGAGCTTTTAGTTGCCTTCAGGGTAAAATTTCCATGCACAGGCAGGGGGAACCTCTAACTCACCTTGCCTCTGCCTGGAGGAGTCACCCACAGCCAAAGCAAGCTTTCAGTGTTTGGCCAGAGCTGCTGGTGGTGGCAATGAAAGCATTGCTTTGCTCACGTAAAGAGATCAGAAAGAAGATCTGAACCCACAAAGTCTCATTTCAGCAGGAGACTTGCCAGTGGATTCACCTGAGGAACCAGCAGATGTTAATCCAGGGCTGTGCGCCAGCCACCCTAACAGAACATTTTAAGTACACATGGAAGCTTTAAAAATTAATCCTATTATAACTTTTGTGAGACAAAGGTCAGCCAAAGTCTGCACAAGGCTGGTCACGGGCCAGAAATAAATAGTACAAATCTGCAGGTGCTAACATCCAATTTACAAGAGACTTGCTGCCGTCCTGTCTGGGGATGCCTGGCAGTCCCTGATGCCTCTGACTATGGAAGTGACAGCAGTCACCTGCCCCACTGGAGAAACGATTTGGCTTGTAAAAAACACGACCCCACCTTAAAGTAGGAAAGTAATTAAATTAAAAAAAACAAAACCACCACACACATCCAAAAAAAAAAAAAAAACAACCCCAAACAGTAAAATATAGGCAAGCTACAGCAAGAAATAGGAGAGAGAACAGACTACCTTTTGGGGATTAATCACTAGCATTAACTAGATGTCTGTCAAGCACTTTGATGATGGAAATCTAGAATATAGACCAATACAGGTGACCGGCACAGCAAAACTGCAAAGACTAGAAAGAGAGAAAGAGACAGAGAGAAGGAGAGGGAAAAGTAGACAAAGTAAGAATTACCATTAGCAACCGGATCAGTATGCTTAACTGTAAAGAATACATTAAAAATTACGATCAAGGAACACAATGGTTAAAAGGATTATCTAACAGGCATCAACAAAAACACCCCAGGGAAAGCAAGTACTTCTGAGGAATCTCTCGTGCTATACTTACACTTATTTTGATTTCTACAACAGCTGCAAGTCCAAATGCCATCGCTGCAAGGATCATACCTGTTGCCATTTTCCTAATAGGTCTATGGAGCAAATGAAAGAGGTGCCATTAAGAAAAAAAAGTAATTTAAAATGTAGAATACCATTCCTCAGAGCCAAACATGTGCCAAAACCATGTAATAAACTGTCCAACAGGTGGCACTGGGGATGACATGCTGTTTAAATTGCCAATCACTTCTTAACTTAAAACTACTCTATTATTCTGTATGAGGCTAGCACTGAGGCCAATTAAAACTGATATGCCATGAAAAAAAGCTCTTTGCTTGCAAATTTCATATTATCTTGTTCCTAGCTTTTCTAGTGGGAATAGCTCACGGCATTATGTTAACCTGTGATGTTGGAAGGAGCACTAGAAATGATATATCTTCAAGTCCCTTTTGGGAAAGGCAAAAGAAAAGTAGTGGAATGAGGAGCAAAAAAATGTGGAGCTTGTGTCAATGTTCCTGACCATCTGTGGCATCATTCTGGGTTATTTCTCATGCCAATACATTTACATTTCTAGAGAATAAAGAGCTTGCTTCTGAACTCAGAGCAGAACTTGTGCAACTCTACCAGAGTTACATGAGACAATCTGATATAAGGCAGAATAAAATAGGTCCAGAATGGCAGGTCCAAACTGAGTATTGAGTTGTTGAGATTTGAAACAAATCTGGTTCTAGATTCAGTGGACTCCACTCTTTGTAATGGTCTGGATTCACATTCCAGATTCACTGGGCTGTGGGAAACCCAGATTAGAAACCCAAACTCTGTGTCTCAGTTACATGCCCTGGGATAAGAAAATATTTACTGTTTGCATCTTGTAATTAAAAAATAGTTTTTCTCTTCAGTGCTGCAATGGGATTTTGTAGCACAAACTTTTGCAGCCACATAGGCTAACACTCTGCAGACTACAGTGTTTCCACAGCCACTGGTACTGCTAAACTGGATAGAAGCCTATTAGTATCCCACATCCAGGGGACAGAAACAGCACGGCATTCAGTCCTGACCGGTGCGTGAGTTTGTGCTGCTGAGTGAACTAGTCTGTGGATTGGTCATCAGGCAGGAGGTTTTCTGTCAAGTCAGGGCGCAGTGCAGGGCACAGGCTCACACTGAGGTAGCATGGAAAAGCACAGCTTCTGATGTGTCCCCTCCAAAGGGCACCATCACAGAGCTGGACAAGGTCTTTCACACAATCACAGAATCATTAAGGTTGGAAAAGACGTTTAAGATCATCAAGTCCAACCATCAACCCAACACCACCATGCCCACTAAACTATGTCCTGAAGTGCCACATCTACACGTTTTTTTAACACTTCCAGTGACAGTGGTATGTCTTTGATATGTCTTTAGGTGCAAGTAATTTAGCATCATGGGAAAGGATCAGCAGGGTGAAGGACTAGGCTTCTGAGGCTCCTTCCATCCCCATTTCATGTGGTTTTGTCTAGCCAGCATTTTAGTTTGGATTAAGAACATGCTTTTAAAGCCAATCTCCCACGCCTTGCCCCTTCCCACACTGTGATTCATGGTGAGAAGTAGTGCTGGAGCATGGAAACTTGTTTCCTTTCAGCTGAAACAGCAATGGCAGAGGCACTCCATGAGTACACATAACATACTCCTACTACTAAAAGGGCATCGGTCCAGAGGCAGACTAGAGATACTCTAAAGTAAGATTCCCCAAAATGCATGAAGTGGGTCTCAGAACCAACCTGGAGGTCTGCTCCTATTGCACTGCACTTCTTGCTAACATAGACTAGGGATAAAATGCTTCATCCATATGGAAATTCCCTTATGTACTCACTGGTTCAGATCCTAGTGTGGAATCTGCTTTCACAAGACCACGTCGCCTACATGGGACAGTGAATTTGGTCCCACAGGAACCCTTCAGGGAAGGAATTTAGGGGTGATATAGGAGATAAAGATGAAGAACATGTTGATCAAATTCAAAAAGGGACTGTTCATATCTGCTTTCAGGGAATATCTGTACAGAGCAGAGTCCAACATCACTGAACTTTCCCCTCTGGAATTTCCAGGGCCTATGGAAAAGGGTGATGCTGCCTCTTGGGGCTGAGATAGAGGCAAGTACTGGGAAGGGTGAATGGAAATTTGTGGGTTTTCTCCCTAAAAGCTCTTCTGCACACTTGGTGCAAAAGAAAAAGCACTGAGGCATCTGCATTGTCCCCAAATACTTACGTGAAATTAAATTTGCACATGTTTATCAGGGGGTAGAGCCCAAGGTCAAAAATCGGGATGAAGACAAGAATAAGAAGTGGATTTAAGAACTGCAATACAAAAGAATGGGAGTTTAGTGACTAGAAAGCAACTTTCAGTAATTAAACTCATAAAGCACTGTCCTCCAGAAATAATTCCATTACAGAAAGGACATGAACAAACACTTAAAAACCTCCTTTTAAAATATAATCATAATTTGCACTTTGACAGCTTCTCCCATTTCATTTTCACAAGCACAAATACATTTTGTTCCTATCCTCCCCTCCAAAAGGTATGCAAGGGCCATCACTGGCCCAGTTTCCCTGAAGAACTGAAGCATGATGTTTTTAAAGAGTACAAAACCCACTGACAACAGAGGCAGCCAACCTTCAGTGCTGTGGTGGGACCTTACAAGAAATCAGCAATAATGGAAACATCTTGGGACTTCAGCAAAAGCCCAGAGGAACAAGCACTATTCTGTGAGATTGGCAATTTCTCGCACTTCCACGCAGCTTGGTAATCCCCCCAAGAACTAAATTTCTCCTGGGAGAGGCAGAGCTTGTCTGCCAGCCAGCAGTGGCAGAGCAAGAAAATAGAGAGTGACAGAGAACAAGCAGAGAGAAATGCTGTTTCAGTTTCAAAGGAAGATTTCAGGGAACAGAACAGCTTTGAATTTCTCCAGCGCTGTTCAGCTTAAGAATTGTAATCAACTGTGACAACAGAGCACAGTCTTGGAGCCTTCACATTTTCATCTGCCCTGCAGAAAGGGAGGAAGGAAACATATTTCAGGTACAATGCTCATCTCAGCACAGGAGCATGTTAAAAGGAGACACAGCTTGTATCCTCACATGCCAGCACTAGTTCAAGAATGACTATGGTGGCATGTCTCCCCACATCTCTGCACTATTCTGCTGGATTCAACCTCCGTGTTAGGACACCTGTGGGGTCTTCTGAACCCCAAGACTAAGCTGGCCACACAGCTAGTGAGCAATAAGGCAGAGTCCACACCACAGCAGTCAGCAGGAGCACTGCTATTACATTCAGAACAAGCAGAGAAAGGCCACTGGTCTCATGAGAAAAATACAAATGAGGGAGAAAAACAAAATACATTTCTAAGGGTTATTTCCTACCCTATAGTATCTTTTACCTGCATTTGGTCAGGTTGAAGGACATATATTCCCTGAAACAAAAAGATATTCCAAGTGACTCATAAACACCATAATATAACAGCGCATATAGCAAATAAGCAACTGGTCCAGTAGATGCCTTAGCAGCAGAGGTGGTTTCCTCAAATGCTTTATGTTGGCTTTAGCAGCTGATATTGTGCTCTTGACACTTGTTATCTAAGGCACAATGTTTGATGAGAATCATTTTGCAGAAGGGAGCTACACTCAGTCCTTGATATATGGCAGCTGGGACACAGCCTGTGACAGGTACTGACACCCATCTTTCAGACTGGCTGAGCCATGAACTAGGTGAGTGTGGAAGAATGGGCATGTTAGCACCCAAGTTGGGATTTGGGCTTAGAGCTTCCTCCCTCCCTGCTTCTGTAATGGGAAAAGCCCAAATCCTACAAGTGAGTGCTCTCAAGGTTCAGGACCCTCTGAGCTCTGTTGGTATTTCTCTTAAGCACCTCAAAAGGATAACAAAATACTATCCCTGGGCTGCACAAACCCCCCTTTCCTCCCTCCATCTGCCAAGGGCACCTAATGGGCTTTGGTCAACTGTGGCTTCTTGGTTTGAGCCAAAAGTCCTCAAGGCTATAAGAGGTTCCTCACCCTTGCATCACTGTGCCCAGCCCACACAATTGGGCAAGGTCAACAGGGATGGACGGAAGTATCCCAGTCCCCAAAAGGGACCGATGAGCTGTCTCAAGGGAGGGGCTGTTGTTTGTCTGAACTCCATGCAATGCTTTTCATTTGAAATTAAGATGAAGGGAAGAGGGGGAAAAATTAGGAAGGAAATATCTTTCCAAGAAAGCACTGTAGGGTTTTGTCTCCTCTTCTGCCATCTGGGAGAGTGGAAGCCATTGGTCACAGCAAAGGAGTCTTACAATTAAAAACATCAGGCCAATATCCCCTCCTGCTACTTTGTGCACACTATACAAATACGCCATTAGGAAACAAGCCTGCAAATATTTAATCTCACACTAAATCATTCCTTGTTTAACTCTGGACTTCCTAGCCAAGCCCTTTGCCTGCAGAACAGAAAAGCATGGCATATTACAAACATGAACACCAACGAGTCTAATGGTGGGATCATCCCAATGTCACAGTTAATTCTCACCTTCATGAGCTGGGACAACTCACCAGTGGAGAGCAGATGAGACTGAAACACAAGCCAAAAATCTATCCAAGCTGGTGTGACAAAAAAGCCCCGAATACATCCTTCTCCACCAGGGACAGTTTAATAAATGACACCTGAAGATTCTTAGATCTTCTGCTAATGGATCACTAAGTGCATGTGAGCAAAACAGCAGAAAGCAAGGGTTTTAGATACACATCACAAAGACTGCATGAACTTTCATTGTTTTGTCTTTCTGAGGTGCATAAATATACCACAGGTGTAGTCTTTTTCATGCCTCATTTGACTTAATTAAGTCTAATGAGTATCACATGCTGAGAGCACAATTTTTAACAGGAGTGACATAGAAGGGCTCAGATTTCAGGCTTTAAGTAAATTTTAAACTGGAAAATGGGCACTTACAGTCCTAAATTCTGATGTGAGCATCTACAGATAAGATCTAGATGGCCTGATAAAACAGGTGTGTCTGCAAACCAGACCTGTATGGTGGCATCTTTGGGCAGATAGCCGATCCACATTTATCTGTCACTGTATGCTGCACCATTTGCCATTCACATCTTTGAAGAACTTTATGGCTACTAACTAATTAATCCTCATCACATCTCTACCTTTCCTGCTGGGTTTGACAGGCTTCATTAATGTATCACCAAGTAAGGCAGAGCAGAAATATACAACTACAGTAGCTCTAGTTACGCCTTACAAGAGCTTTGTACTTTGTACAGAGGCTGTGAGCTTTCCCTGACTTCTCTGCCTTTAGCAGGCTGGAAACCCTACCTCCTCAAGGTCACAGAGCAACTGGCTGCCAGTAGGTGAGCACTCCTGACCTTTCAGGCTGCTGAGGGCTCCTCAGCCCTTGCTCCTTGCCAAGATGTGCTGTGGTGAATTGAACATGGCTGCACAGAGCCTCTCACTTCTAAGCACCAAAAGTGCAACACACCCAGACTCATCAAGCAGACGCTCTTAGTACTGCAAGACTCTGGTTAAAAAGTAAGAGCAGTGATGTTACTACTAGTTTACCAGCTCTGGTGACATTAAGTACTTACAAAATCAGCATTCATTTTTGTGGCTTGCAAAGTCCACCTGGATCCCTAAGGAGAAAATAGACAGCTGTGAAACCTTCAAGATGTCCTATGGGACTAGAAAACATGGGGATGGAGAAGACAGTGCTGGAGGTCTTATTTCCCCATCTATTCCTTCCCTTCCCTGTAACACCTGCCAGTAGGCAGGGCACATTCTTCCTTCTCACCCTCCTGTGCCAGACACCCAGCAGGACTCCGAAGGGATGGCCAGCAGTGATGGTGAGTACTGCCTCAGCAAGCCCCCAGACACCTGGTAGGAGCATGATGCTCTGTGTCCCCAGGATGCTTGGATGTCACCCTGGAAGGACAAGGGTGCAAACCCAGGCTGGCAGGCAGACCTGCAACACACTGTACTGTACCTGCTGATCAAACAGGGCCCAGAACATCGGCAGCGGTACGAAGAGGAAGAGAACACGTGTCACCATTTTAACCTCCCCAATCAGCTGTTTCTATAAAGGGAACAGGCAAAAAGGTAGGATGGAGGTGAAAAGCCAACTGGTGATTCAAGCCACAAAGCAGGAGACCGCCTACTTCTTTCTGCATGGCAACTATTCATTGCACTTATTCATTATATTGGACATATTTCCATTTCTGCATTTCAGTGCAGTGCCTAAACTGTCCATTAAGGGTCAGGAGAGTACAGATGTGGGAAGGGACAGGACAAATGAGAGCTTGGTGCGGCCAGGCCAGCCTCCCCTTTCTGTTTGCCTGTCTCTTCCCTTCCCCCTCCAAAACTCCGAGGTAGAGAATTGTTTACCGAGTATTTTTCTGATGCCCAGTCCAGCCAGTGATCTCTCTTTGGAATCTGACGGGAGCGGTTTTTCAGCCGGTTTTTAATAGCAAACTAGAGAGAAAAACAGGTAACTCTCGTGGCACGCCCGCACTTGTCACATTCCCAGCTTAAGGCTGCCCTTCCCATCCCCAAATGTCAGCAGTGCCAGAAAATTGTGGGAGTTTTGCTGCAGACTTCCAAAATCTCAGATTCAACGCTTTATGATCAATTCTCCGCAGGGAAGTTTGTGACATTGGTTGGTTAAAGGTATGATGTGGGAATGAACTACCTCATGGGCTTGCCTTCCAGAGACAAATCTAACAATAGCCAAAGACTGTTTCATGTTTTATTTACAGCCTGCTACATTATAAAGCTTTAAACATCATTTCTTCAGTTCTCTTCCAATAAGGACCTGTTGGATTGACTACTGTGCTGGGGAGGAAATGCCTTGTTATCCAAAGCAATGTCAAACAGAACTCTCATTGCCTTCTTGTTCTGTAGATCTTTCTTTGCATACTCCTGGTGCAGCCCATGCCTCATTCACTCCTAGACAAGCTTTCAAGTTGGTTTCTCACTGGAAGAGAAACCAGTGACACCAAATTTGTAACTTGTTTGTTTATGCTGTGTGCTCCAGTCATGGAACACACTGAACATAGCCACCCTGGCAAAAAGAGCAGCAGACCTCACTTAGAAATCCTATTTTTTAAGATCTGTGCTGTTTCCCCAAGGTAAGTCTGTCGCTAGGATTGACCTAGGTAAAGAGAAAACATCTGCTGGTAGCAACAGCTTCCTGAAGAAGAAACATCATTATCCACCTAATGATGAGTATTTTTTCACCTACTATATTCAGTTCACACACTATGAAAAATTTCAGCAGGTGTCTCTTGCATTACATGAACGTGCTGAATGTGCATAATACGAATGTTTACTATTACTGTCTGCTGAACTGATAAACTTCATTAAAATTATTCAGCTGAAAAAATTTGAGTCCTACATCTGATACTCTCTAAGTTTCTGAATTTTCCTTTCAGTTCAGTCTCCATCAGCCTCTGCCACTAGTGGTTCTACTGACACCAACTGAACAGTTCATGGAGCTATGGAAAAACAATTGAAATGTTTAAATAATAAGCTAGGACCTAAATGTGTTTCTTACTCCTTACAGCTCATCAGTAAGACAGCCAGCAGCAGCATACAGAAGAACTCCACATATCACCTCCCCTTTCCCTTTGCACTTTTCTGACCTGCAAATTCAGTCATGCATGAAAAAGAGAGAATGGCACACACTTACGCTGATGCATTTGCACACTTCCAGTAAGATGTTCCCTTGTGGTGGTGTTTTTCTGTACAGTCCACTTCCAGCAATGAATACAACTGAAAAATACAATAACCCAAACGGGAATTCACATGACTGAGGCACAGTCCTGCACTGGCTTCTGGGAAGGATCCCCCACACCTGTATTCAACAAGAAATCTTCTGCCCTTGTGGGTTGCAGGATCGCACTTTTAACAAAATAAATATACAGGAATCCTTTAATGCCTTTAGATGGAAGAAAATGCAGCATCCTGCAAGAGGCAGTGTGATCCCTAGGAAGTCACCGTAATTTTCTCATAATCTGCTCTGGCACAACAGGCACGTCCACATCTGATTCATGCTGTAAAGCAAAGCTTTGAAAATTCCCTTCATCTGTACTTTTTGTAGGCTAAACTTAAATACAACCCACATTGAATTGCTGCACCTGATGGTGGAAATCAGCCCTGACTCATTGCAACCATCTGAGGATTAATCCAGATCCAACGTGGGCTCTGTGTACTCACATTTCAGTGGAAACTGCCACGAAGGTCACTGCATCACACTGGTGTTAACAGAAATTACCTTGATTTATGGTTTCCACAAAGGCATATATAATTTAAGATATTGTTTTGTCTTGGTTTTCTCCCTCAAAGCACAAAGAATATTGGACGAAGACTTCAAAATCCTGACAGAGATGGGGCTGTCTGATTACATATCATTTGTCCTGCTCTTTGAGACCCTCTGAGCACATTGCAATTCTAAAGACATTAGCAGGGAGAAGCACAATAAAAGCTGAGTGTGAAATCCATATAACAGACCAATCTCAACTTTTTAAACTAACCCAATTGTCTGGGTCAGTCCACAGCCAGTGGAGAAAAGCAGGCATGTCTGTCCTAACACAGGAGGCCTGGGACAATGCAGGGAACTCACCATTTCTCTTTTCTGACTATGAAGACCCTTTGCATCCAGTTTTGACTTGCAGAACTGTCAAAGATACCTCTGAAGTCAGTTAGGTGAGTTGCACTGAAAGATACTTGTCCAAAGTCACCTAGAGTGGGTAGCTGCACTACCTAATTTTTAGCATCTCCCTGTGGACCTGTTGCTGCCTCTAAAAGGTGACTCATTAGCTTTGCTGAAATACCTTCTGGTGATGGCATTGACTCCTTTGGGAACTGAGGTTCCTGCATTAGGTTTGGCATTTCAAATTAAATAGTATCAATCTTCCCTCATCTTTCAGAAACTGAAGCAGCCCAGAAAATCTTGCTCTGTAAGATTTCTGTTCTGCCTCTAAATCTATCCTTGCTTTCCATCATCATGGGGAGAGGGCCAGTCAGGGCTGAAAGGGTATTTTCTGCAGTTCTGCATGCTGCTCACATAGTCCAATATATCACTTCCAGGAGCATTTTAGCATGTTACAAAAGAACACAGAGCTGCTTTGCTGGGCAGGCCGTGGAATCTGGCAGCAGGACACTAGCTAAAAAACACATTTCGATTGATGCCCTCACTGAAACTGCAATATTTACACGTCCATTGTCCCCTGGGCAACTACTGCTCTGCTAGAAACATTCATCACACAATGGTGCACAGAGGAGCCTGTGCTGCCTTAAACTGATAGGAACAGGGGGGAAAAGAGAAGCTTCTCAGACCCGTGACCATGCACTTTTTTGAAAATAATTGCTGTAACATTAGCGGTGGCCTGATGACATTTCCCCAGTGTCCTGATTCTTCTCTCTGATGGAGGTTTGAGAGGAGCAGGCAACATTCACATTCTCTGGGGGACAAACTTTTCAAATTGCAGATGCTGTGGTGAAATCACACAATTGCTTGGTCTCTCAATTAAGCTAACAAGCTGAATGAGAAGTCACCCCATGGTGTGTCAAAACCTCTCAAATAAGGGGTAATAAGGGAACTGCTCCCCTCAGCAGCTTGCAACTGTGAAACTAAAGCTAATGGGGTGTCCTCTGTATTTGGCTACCAAGGAGTAACAGTAAGAATGTGGAAATTGCCGAGTAGTTTATAAAGGTTAAGGAAGAAATCTTGACAAGTACATTAACAGGGCTAAGATGTAAGCTTTAGGAAGCAGGGTTATTGCAGCTGCCTCCAGACACTTGGACAATAAGGGCTTTTTATTGCAACATAATAAGTTGTCACTGTAATTGTGGAAATTACTTCAGCCAAGCAAAGTGAGACAGCTCAGAATAAAGTAACATCTCATTCAGCTCCTTCTGCTATTTCTATGGCGCATAAATTCTGAAGCAAAAGTCTGAGTCATTAAAGATGGCCACAAAGAGCCTGTGGAAAGGTTAGAACTGGCATACTAAGCTTTTCTTCTACAAGCTGGGGAACTATAAGGATTACTCAGATTGCAGTTCAAAGGCTAAGTCTGCTCTTAGGCAAAGCTGTGAGCCATCAGGAGAATCATTTTGGTGCCTCCCTGTGCTTTATAGAGCAAGGTAACTGTATCGTGAAACATCCACCAGACCACCCTCTCATCAGTATCATGATAGGGCTCGATATTGCTCTCTGAGCAACCTCATGTAGTTGAAGATGTCCCTGCTCATTGCAAGGGGATTGGACTAGTTGACCTTTAAAGATCCCTTCCCAATGCAAAGATTCTATGATAAAGGATTGCAGTAAAACCGTGGAAGTGGTCTGCCCACCACTAAGTGAACTAGTGATTTTACTTACTGTTCTGAACTGTGGAATTGTTGGATGACCTGGAACCCTTGAGTTTCCCATCACAGTACCCATACAGAGCTAGTAAATTTGTGCATTTTCTCATCTATCCATGGACTCAAAAATGGTGTCTCCTATTACAAGCATTATTGTTTCCACTCACCAAGCGCCAACACCATCAGTGCTGCTGGGACACCAAAAGCCAGTGCATAACAATCCTCTCCAAAACATTTCACATCCCCTGAAAAAGAAGTCAGAAATAAAAGCATCTCATTACAGTCAGACTTATGTTACCAGGGCCTTTGATTTGCTTCCCCTAAATCAGTCACTTCCCCTGGCTTTAAATCTTCTTTGCTGGTGCTTGACACTGTGAATTGAATCTCCTTGAAACAGTTGTCCTCCCTTGATGAAGACAATTTGGAAGCAGGGTTAGTGTCTGCCAGCAAAAGTGGCTGATAATGGGATATTGATGACAATGGTAGAAGGGAGGGAGCAGGCAAATAGGTAGAAAGAAGTAGAAGGAACTGTAATTGGGAAAAAAACCCACAACATTTAAAATAACCTGAAGCCATTCTGTATTTGCCTAGATCTAAATAAGCAGTACTGTGTTTCCACATTATTTGTGCCAGCTGCATGAGTTATTGAGCTAAAAACCTGAATCTGATTTCATAGTGACCTACAGTGGACAAAGTGGAAGCCAATACCCTTACTACATAAGTGGGAGCACAGGATTAGTCTTAAAACTCCAGTTCCATTTCTTGCCATATTCCCAATCTCACTAGAGACAGCCTGCTCCAAATGTCAGGTCTTGCAATAACCCATCAGGAAGCCAGGTTCATTACAGCATGGCTTTGATCGATCTGAGCTATGGTTCACTGAAAACCCTGCGCCTCATGGACCAGGTCAGTTCTCTCACCACGTGAATTTAGAGGTCCTGTTGCAAACACCAAGCCAGCAGTGGGGGCTGTGAGTGTATTGCAGTGGCTACAAATTACTGCATTCTTACATGGAGTAACAACAAAATGGCTAAAATAAGCCAACATAGTTAACAGGAAACCAGCCCATGAAGTCTTCAGTTGTTCCTGTTTGTTGTCCCTGGGCAGTCACGGTCGCTGCATAGCTGTGTGCGTGCATAGCATTTATTTACTTATTTTCAGCAAATTAGCTGAAATCTAACAAAGCTGGCAGCGAGACATTATGGGCACGCTGAACTTTTGACATGCAAAATGAGTTGGACTTCTCCACCTAGAAGTGTATCTTCTACGTTCCAGCCAAATGTCTATGAACTGCATTTCTTGCTCTTTTGAGAAAAGCTTTCACACTTAGCAAAAATTTTACTCTTTCCTCATGCTCTCCACCATCATTTCCATGTTGCAACTAGTTTGTTGCTAGGCTATATTGGCAAAGGTTTTGATGTTCAAAGGGGACTGGATTTTCATCTGCCCACTGACTACACTGAGCAAAAGCCCGTTCCCAACAGAATGCTGACCAGTGAGAAAAAGAGCAAGAGATACAGTATTTGTCTTTGCCCATACACACAGTGTAAGTATGAGACAAGTACAATTGCCCACAGCCTCGTGAAATGAACGGCCTGTTAAAAAAAAAACACTCAAAGAAAGCTTCCTGGAGGCCACAGGACAGAATGAAAAAAATTGCTACTACATGTGAAGGCTGGCTACCTTGTCCCCATGCCTATCCCCATTGCCTATGGCCTGCTGCTCTGCCTCTGTGTCTGAATTTAGAGCATGCCAATCCCCTTGGCTTCTAGGCACTGCGATACAATGAAGTAAGTGCAGCAAGGCTCGGGGACTAAAAAGGCTTGTGCAAACTGGCTAGAATATAAAGTAGGTCTTAAATGGGGCATAGGCCTGTGCTTTGTCTTCAAGGCTAGCTGCTCAGGGCTGCAATCTTGCAAGCAGACCCATGCAGACATGCCTGGATGCCAGGACAGAGCCCTCCAGAAGTGAGCAGCACCCTGTGGGGGGGAGAAAGCAGGGCTTCAAAACCAGCCCTGCTAAGTTGTTCAGCCCAGACACCTGCACAGGACAGCAGAGATCAGTTCCCATCCACAGGTTACCTGCAGGCAAGACAGGGGAATAATCCTTCACTGGCAATGGGGAGGATTAGATGACCATATAGGGCCTTCCACCTTTCACATTTTAATTCTACAGTTCAGGCTGGTTTTGAAATACAACCAGGAATATAGTACTATAAATCTGTTATGCTGCTAAGGCAGGATTAACAAGGCGTAAATGCAATACACTGGCCACTCCACAGATAACATAATTTCTGCCATTCCGTTGTCATAAGAGCCTAACTATGCACAGCAGAGTAGTCAGAGGGCAGCTAATTTATTGTCTTATTCTAAATCAACACTGACCTCTTAATACAGGAGTTACAAACGTGGAGATCAAACTTCCAGCATTAATGGATAAATAGAAGATGGAAAAAAACTTGCTTCTCTCCGAGGTCTAAAACAAGAGAAGACAATATCAATGTCACAGCTAACACACAGCATTGGGCTTGCAAATTGAACACTATCAATTCTCTTGTTAGGAAGGCTGGGTAAATATTGGCACGCAGTGCATAAAATGTTAAGCAAACAAGCTTGCGTTCAGGTGATGGTAAATGCTCACACAAATCAGTGCACATTACTTGAGAAGCGCTTTGGGGCTTTTTGGCACTTCAGAGGAAAAGCCACTGCTTCAAGAATGTTGTGAGATTGGAAGGAGGGGAGAGCATTTACTTATTCCAAACAAGTAGCATGATTCAGATGCTCTGTCACCTAATTCAATCCAATTTGGCACGGTTTGACAAGCTCATCATTTCTTCCCATGTCTGAGCTCTTTTTTTTTTTTTCCCCTTTTCCCCTGTGTAGAAATAGAAAAAGAAACCTGTGTATTTTGAGGAGCTGGTAATGACAGCATAGATGAGTGTGTGCCAGAAAATGAGAGGTATCCAGCAGACAGGAGATTACCAAGCCGAGGCCAGTCAACCTCAAACTAATAGGGTAAATTAAATCTACGGGAGCAAATTCAAGAGCCTGATAGAGGGATGAACACTAAGAGAAAGAGTTCAGAATTTAACTGATGTTGTAACATATTATAGTCCATACAGCCCAAGGATTCCTGTTGATCTTCTTTCTTCCTGCATAATTCATAATTTGGAAGGAATCAAGAACTTGATGCAGAGTTTGGCCCTTTTTGCAGGAATAACATGTGAAGGCATTCAAACAAGAGCAGTCTCTCCTTGCTTGTGGGGAGACACACATGCACAGTTGCCTGCACATACACAGCACTAAACCTCCTCCCTGTGCCTCGGTAGGCCAGCAGAATGGAGAAAGAAGAGCGGGCTACCTGACATACCCCATCATCTGTATCACCAGCTATGGGACACCTGAGTTAGTGAAACCAGCATATAAGTACAGCCCAATCCCAGGCAGCCAATATACTCCACATGCATCTAGGCTTCGTTCCCAGCTGTCACCAGGTCTGATAAAGGTAGTGGGTAAATTGCTTGGGACATGGCTTGGTGCCTGGCAGAGAGCTCCTTAGGGCACCTTGAACCACATCTCTATGACCTGAGCATCATTTGAATGCAAAGCTTTAACTTAGCTGAGTGTGAGGAAGCTCCTCAGGGGCCTGGTTCTGTCCCCTCTCCTTCTAATATGTCCCCCTTCCTTCTGCTCCCTGAGACAACAATCTTCACAAGGCTAGCAAACAGGAGAAAATGTGAAGAATTGCAGGCAGATAAAAGAGGACAGCTCTTAAGGGATGAAGCCTGGGATCCAAAAACATAACAAAACTTCCCGTAACTGATGGTGAAGCCAACAGGAAATACTGCTACTTCATATGGCAAGAAGCCTCTTACCACAGGGGATCAGTGCAGGGAAGGTAGGCAGATAGGAGAGCATGGGAGGGCTTTTCTTTATGTCCCCTTGTGAAGCAGGTACTGGGAAGGTAAAGGTTAGAGCCCCATCACCTCCCACTGCCACCCACCGAGGAGTCTGGGGGTCCCCTCACTTGGATTAAGGGCTTTTTGCCTTGCCCCAGCACAGTTATGAAGACCCCATCAACTTAAAATTGTGGAAGAACCAAAATCTCATTTCTTAGCGTGTCCCAGGCAATCTAATCCATACATTACTCATCAATTATTTATCCTGGATTAAAGGATTCATAAGCCTTATAATAATCATTTCTATGGCATGTTCCCATGGTTAACAGCAAACAGCACTGGGTCTTTCTATCTCTTATACGCCATTTCTGTCCTTATCAGTGTTTTTGATTACCTGGAACTTTCCACTGCTAAGCTAGTGAAAGTATATTTTCTTCTACATTCTACCTTTGTGACTAGTTATTTGTCATCATAAGGAAATCTAGAGAAATGAGCAGCCTCAGCAATCTTTCCCGCTCCCAGAGTAGCCCTGCCACGGCTTGACATGGCTGGTGCAGTAGAGTCCTCACAGTCCTACCCCTCTTCTAGTCAAATTCTCATGCCATATCTCTAACCCTTCCTATCTGAGCAACTCAATTTCTGAGAGCTGAGAAAAACTCAAGCATGCAGCTCTCGATAAAATCTAGAGCAACAATTACCAAAAAGAATGTGCTGGTAAGAGAAGAGAATAGTGATGCATAAAGAATTTGGGGCACCTTTTTTCACACATTTTCAGATTTCGGTGATGAAATAAATGGTCAGAGAAAAGCAGAACTGAGTACAAAAAAAATATGACCCAGCAGCTTGAAAATTACACTGATTGGAAAAAAGAATTCCTATTTTCTTAATCTTTGGAGCAGACTTACATTAACAACATGATTTGGATTAGCTAATTTGAGAAAAGGTACCGTACACGATAATCCTGATCTCCTTGGCAACCGGAAAATAAAGAAACAATGAGAAAGCTATTTAGTACCTTAAACACCATATCACACTGTCTGAAAGGAGCTTTGGTCCTTAATTAATATGCACAGCAGCCTTCACATTTATATAACATATTGCAAATATAATTTTGTTCAGGCATTTTTAGCTTGCACTCCTAATCCCATAGACAAAGACGCTCGGAAATCTCCAGCAGATAAATCTACTTTCCCTTTTTTTTTCTGAATCAGCCTCCATCACTGTTTGTAGTAGTATTGTTCTCAAAGTGGCAGATCCAAGACTATTACATTCAAAGTACTTCAAAGAAAACCAAACTGATGGTTTTCTTTTTACCTCAAAAAATAAATTTGTCTCTATGTGAAAATAGCAGGGGCAATTTATTTATTCATTTTATATACATAACTACCATATCCCTAGCTTCCAGATGGAACAACTAAGCCTGTGCACTCAGGTCAGCTGAGACAAGGTCTCAGCTAAAATTTATTGGTGTCCTGAAAACTAAGGGGGAATCAAATGCTTCATTTCATTGGGAATTTTCAAAACTTATTTCATCCTACCTGGAGTGGAAGATGAAAAACATAAGTCCTCCCAAACACCACTCCAGAGGGAAGAAATATTCTGGTTGGCCTCAAACCTTTCATTCCTTAGAAAATCAAAATTTCTCATTCCAATTTTGAAGACATAAATTTGCTATCACATAGCATAAAACATTTTTTTCTTCTGAAAGGCCAAGTAATTTCAAAACAGTAAAATACAAAACCTTGTATTCTGAAAAGAATGAATAGAGCAGAATGCATTGTCCTTATCAGAAGGCTTTTTACAGTTTTCTTTCTCTAAATTAGTTTTTTCTTGAAGGCAACACACAGGTGAATGTTTGAGCCTTAGTATTTGATAAGTTTGTTGGAGACGTGTAGTCTAATGCTGGAGAATGGGTGCAGGTCTACACAACCACAGGCAATTCAGGTTTTTCTCTGTAATTCAGTTGTGGTTGTAAGTTTGGGATAATAATATGTATGTGCCTGACTGGGGTGCTGAGATTCATTAGCTGAAGTCTACAAAACACTCTGAAGATGTGGTACATATTATCATACTATAATTAGGTGGTAATTGAAAGATGCTGGATAAACATTATTAATCGTTAATATTCATAGAAGTAGCACTTCTGAAAATGCTGCTGTAACACCTGTTAGAATCCCTTTGGGACAACTGTTGGCACTGCAAGCTGGGATGCCCACACACTAATATGCACGCAGCGTATTCCCAGAGCACATGTGCTGTAATGTCAGCCTGCTTTTGGTCAGAGTTGTGCCAACTGGAGAGGCTGGTGATCACCAGATGCTTGCTGCTCCCTCTTCTGCAGCATTCTCTAAAGCACCAGGTCCAACTGACAGCACAGGGTGGACATGCCTGCAGACGGGTCTGCTTTGAGCAAGTGGCCATGAAACATCCTGTGTCTTGTTACTTGTTAGTAACCATAAGCTTCATCACTTCAGCAACACACAATTCATCTGCAGAAAGCACAAGTCTTCACAAAATTTTGAAATAAACACTCTAGCCTGTATCATTTATACATTAAATGCTGACTACATGCTGGGGCATTGCAAAAGACAAACAACAAACTGCCCTATGGGGCTTCCATTCCTCATCCAAGGCCCAGGGGCCATCCCTTATCCAACTCTACCAGTGCCTTTCCTGACAGACTGTTAGTCTAATGTCCTTCTTCAATGCCTCCAGATGGACTTTCCATCTCCCAAAGGTCCTAATCTTTTGCAGTACTTCTCTAGATCTATTTCTGGAAATTTTTTTCCTACTGTCAGTCCTAAATAATCCTCCTTGAATTTAAGCCTACTCATCACAGACCCCAGCACATTTTCTTTCTTGTAGCAGTGGCCTTCTACATATTTGAGGACTTATTCCATGCACAGAAGTTGCTGATTTGAATGCTGTCATTGAGAAAACAGAAATATTTATTTGTGTGTGAGGTCAACATTAATCTAAGTGTTTAATTTCAGGTCAATTTGAAAATTTAGCATTTTGCCTGAGGATTAGTACTTCCTGACCTGCTTTGCTTCTTTAAGCACTACCTTATCCCTGGTTGAGCCACTGTGCTGCATAATGGGAGTTTGAGATTAGCGCAGGTGAGGGGCTAAGTACTCATGACAGAGAATGAGGACATGAAGCAACTGGATGACAATTCACAAGATGCAGAGCACAAATAAAGCTAAAAAGAAACATCTTCCCAACTCTTCAGAATTTTCCATTCTGGAATGTCTAGAAAACATTCTGTACAGGTTTGGTACCAGCACCACTTTCAAAAGACTGGAATTTCCTACAGTTCTTTCTGTACAACACCTAAGACACACATTATGACAGATTTGAGGGAAAATTCCCAAGGAAGCATAGGCTGGTGATACAATTTTCTCTTTAATTTGCTGTATTCCATTGCAGTGCATTATAATCACCCCTGTTAAGCTGGTTCAGAAATGGCTACAGTTCCGATACACGATACAGGATTTTTCAACTACTCTGACATCCAATTAACATTTAGATGACTTGATGCAATTATGACCTATCCTTCCCAATATCAGTCCTGTTCTGCTGTCATTTTGCTTTTCTGAAGCATCCATATTCTCTCAAGTCTTAAGCGAACCATCCTACCTCACATCTTACTGTATCTTCCCCTAGCAAACTGGCTCTTCTTCTAGTATGACAGGATTTGATCATATTAACATCCCATAAAGTAAGTAGACACTGCAGATTTTAGGAAAGAAAAGAAGTCTTACATGTTCCTCTTCAAACTGGTCCCCACCAAATGCAGAGACACAGGGCTTGATACCTCCCGTTCCAAGGGCGATCAAAAACAGACCAACCATAGACAGGATCCTTCATGCAAGAACAAAAATATCACCATTGCAGAACCTTTCCAGTGCTTATGAGAGCATTTTAGTGTCACTCAACCATGATTCCTCTGGTATCATTGTCTTTTGCACATGGGTAGTGATGATGAGCCAGCTAAGTGGGAAAAACAAATTAATTATCCTCATTTCTGCATTCAGTACCAGTCAATTAACCAAACTGGTTTTGTCAGTTTCTTGCTGTTCTGAGGCCCAATGGACACAGTAGAGATCAAAGATCCGTGTTATTATTTTTTACTCATATGAGAGCAAAAGACTGCAGAGATCAACTGAGAAAAATAAAAAAGAAAAAAAAAAAGGAAAAAAGCGCCTTTTCCTGCAGCCTTCCAGCCTGGGTAAGCACAGAAAAACTCTTTGAATTAGGCTCATTCTTGGGTGCTTTCTACTTCCCACTGCTCCTCAAAATACCATTGTTGGCTTGACAGATTACATCTAGGGAACAGGAGTGTCAGGACTGGCCAGGTCTGGGACAAAAAGAAACTGTTCTGTAAATGAGATGCGCTCCTGGCCTGCATGTGCATATTTTTAGAGCTGTGACCACCTAGTAAAAGCAGCTTGGTAGTTTCAGAGATGCCAGCTGGGGAACTCCTCTGACAAGCCTGCCTATCAGTTCAGAATTTTGAGGGCAAGAAGGGATGTACCCTGTGGAAGAGACAGGACAGACCCTTCCCTCTGTTACATCAGAAAATGTATCTTCTGGTTTGTGTTCCCATGCACACAGGGGGACCTTGCTGAGCTGGGTAGCTATGCCGATGAGGAAATGAGGGAGGAATAAGCCTCGTGTAGGCAGCTGGATGGAGGAGACCAAACTCGAGTAGCATGGTATAGCAGAGAGGGGTGATCAGAGGTGCCGATGTCAAAGGGCTTAGAGTCTCTGTGGTGGTTTCCAACCCCTTCTGGTGCATTCACACGCTAGATCTGCCCTTCTGTTCTTATTGAGACATCCCAAACCCTTCCCTGATAAAAAGAACCCATGTACAGTCCCCAAACTGCTGGCCTGATGGAAGGGAAACAAATTACAGTCCTGGGTAAACCAACTACCATCGCAACCTACTACAGCGCTGTGGCTTCAACAGCTACTTACACGTGAACCGCCTGGTTGCCTATGGATGGAATTGCACCAACAGACTTTATCAGATGGCCAACCACATACACAATGGAGAGGTAGATGATCGTCCTGTGAGGAAAGCAAACAGCAATGACTGAAGGTGCTGGGTGATGTACAATCCAAAAGCAGAGTGTGCCTGTGCTTCCTGATACAGCAGGTCTACTTTGCAGACACACAAGGAACTGGTTTGTTTGTACCACTGGTATAGCAGGCAGCTATAACTCTTACTGCACTCAGTGTTGACACAAAAAAGATGGCAAATGGGTTCAGATTAAGGAGGGATAGCCCCTGCTTTCTTTGCAGAGGTTGCTGAGCAGAATAAACTAAAAATGTTCCAGTCTCATCACACATGGAAGGTTGCAAACAGAAGAGTACTGTTCAGGTCTAGCTCAGTTTCAAGATTACTACTAACTGGCATTTTGTAGCATGCACCCAAGTGAATCCCTTGACTGGAAGGCACCTATAGGGGACTGTTGCCCACATTCAACCCACCTGACTAACACATCAAATTGGGAGTGTGGTTTCCCCATTACAAGTCTGTTCTACATCCCAAGTACCTCTGGAGGACTGAGCTCATCTAAGTACCTCCCATGTCTTGGTGAGGGAAAAGAAATCTAACTAGGAGAATCAGGCTCTTGAGTGTATTCTATTCCTTCATCACCTTCAGGACTAAGAGATATCTATGTATTTATGTGTAGACAACACACAGAGAATGGAAGGACTTATTAGGACAGAGGCACTAGAAGAAGCCCTATGAGCTTTGAGCATGGAAGTGGTCTGCAACACATCCAAACCCTGGTTGCAACAACTGATTTAGAGGCACATCAGATCATTCCCAAGAGCCCCTCTAATCTGTTTTCCTGTCCTTGGTATTGGCTGAGGTCTAGCTACTACAGCAAAAGCCACTTCCCACTAAGTCATAGGGATTATGCCAGGGAAAGTCTCTTGCCAAATGCACAAACATCTGCATAAGGATTTACCTTCTCACAACATCATGCTGCAAGATAGATATCATCAAATACCAATGAACATTGCTAGGTGACCTTAAATAATTAAGTTAATAAACCCCCACTTATTTTTTTTCATTCAAAAGGACAAAAGAATGACTAAAATTGAGCACAAAGAAAAAAGAACATTGGTATCTCCTTAAGAACTTTCTGCTGGAAAGGCATATGGAAGCTGGTGTTTTTTTTTTTACTCTTCTGCCAGATGTGCTTAGTCCTAGAGAGAAGGGTTCAGCTGCACTTCATCGCTCTGACAGCCAAGACTCCTCAGACAATGAACAAACAGTGCTAAGCAAAGAAAATCCTATATCCAGCTGCTCACCATCGCTCTGTGGCAGATGACAGCCCCACAACTTACCAGTGGAAGACTGCCTAACTTACTCAGTTTACCAGGTTAGGTGCTGAGGGAGAGGATTTGAGTGAGCCCAGGTTTCTCTGGCATAAAAAAAATGGGTGTGCTTACACATTCCCTATGGTGTGAAAGCATAAATTTAGTTTAGTTAGTGATGTTTCATCTGAAACTGCAAGATCTAGAGGATGACACCACTTCCTCACCATGTTTTAATCCTTCTCAGAAGCAGATCTTAGCAAGCTGAGTGTTAATCACCAAACACCTCAGCTTCCTCAGGGTGGGTAGGGAAGGACAGTGGAGGAAAAGTATGTTTGTGACATTTAACTTGTGCCAACTTTGTTGCCTGTTGGCCCTTGTGTGAAAGAGGAGCACAGAACAGCATGAGCAAACAGATCAGCTGTTCATCCGTTGAGAGAGGAGCTGACCTTTGCAAGAGTGTCTTTGCTGCACTCTGAGCTAGCTCACAACTGGGAGCACACACAGCACTGCCCTTGCACAGGCTGCATGGGGTAGATGTATGCTGTCTGAATTAGAGAGGTGTCTTCACTTACTTGTATTTCCCCAGCCATGAGTCTGCCACGATGGCTCCAATAACAGGTGTGAAATAACATAGTGCGGAAAAGGCATGGTACACAGCAGTGGAGAGATTCTCATCCCAGTGGAAGAAGCTTAAGAAATATAGCGTCAGGACAGCTAAAAGGAAACAAGTAAATCACATCAGATAATTAATGTGTATATCTTCAGGTAAGCAGGAAACTACATAATGGTGGCAAAAAACCCCACTGACTTGTCTAGCAGCTACGAGCACTATTGTGGAAAGATCCGTGCTTTCAGACTTCAGTGTATATCTTCAGGTAAGCAGGAAACTACATCATGGTGGCGAAAAACCCCACTGACTTGTCTAGCAGCTACAAGCACTGTTGTGGAAAGATCTGTGCTTTCAGACTTCGTAATCCCTGACAGAGTAAAAGCTAAAATGAGATATATGAGTATCAGGTGTCCTTTGCTTATAAACATTTATGTTTAGCCAGAAAATATATTTTCTAGTTTATCTTGCCATAACCTGTAGTTCTGTTTATGCACATTTTCTATTTGCAAATTAGGTGCCTGTATAATTCAGTTCCAAAAACGCTGGTTGCAAACAACTATGAAAGACATCACACACCAGAAAACCAGGTTTGATAGAGAGGATCATATAAAAATTTAGACTTAAAAGTACATTTGGAGCTCTCTAGTCCCAACTTCTGCTCAGAGCAAGCGTAGCATCAATGTTAGGGCACACTGTTCATACCTGCATCCTAAAACGCCAATTTACATTGAAAGACAGCTGAGACCACATAGAGCATAGCCCTAAAACACCAGGCCAGTGCCTATAGAAACCCAAGCACAGGAAAGTTGCTTCCCAGACACAGGCCACGTACCTCTCATGCCATAGTAGGAGAAGCGCTCGCAGAACTCGTTCACCACGATGAAGGCAATACTTAGAGGGTAGTTGGAGCCACAGAGTTTCTGCAGGAGACAAATGAGACCGTAACAGCTCTGTGAAAGCCTTCACCCCAGCAACATACCCCCACAGTGCCTGGGCAGTGGAGAATAGTCCAGTCCAAAAACCAGGTGCCCACTGCTGCTTGACTGGCCTGTGGGTTGGACTCAAAGGAGAAAAGGGACCCCAAACCTATCTTGCTTTGGTTAAAGCTCCCCAGTGAATCAGCCTGGCTGACATGGGCCCAGTAAGGACCGCCATGGGCATTCGTGGGCTGCCAGCAGTGCACCACACTTGTAGCTCTAGAACTCCAGCAGAAGAGTCCTACCATCTCTCCACTGCAATGCATGAACCCACTGAGATACAAAAACACCTTCGGATGCCTTTTCTCCTACACTTCACACAAAGCTACTACTCTGCCCCAAAACTGCTCCCTCCCCTAGTACCAGACCTTGCCTCAGCAGTTGGTAGACCCCAGGGAGCTGCTGTCCGCTTCTGTGTGAAGCTGCTGCCTCCCCTGCGACAACTGCCCTCAAACTCTGCACCTCACTTGCACTGAGCTGTGCCTCCACGTTCACTAGAGCAGAGCATCAGCCCTGTGTCCTGCACTCCTTCTGGCATGGCATCCATTTCGAATTCCAAGAGCACTGGCACAGCTATGGATAATTCAATTTATTAATCAAAACTAAACAAAACAGTGACAGGACTGTCAAACCTGTCTGAGCGTGGCCACTCTTTCACTGAACCTGACTTCACTCGAGCTAAAATCAGCAGTTTCCAAGTGAAATACAAGGCATTTAAATAGATGAGTCTTGGCATGACCTTGAGTGGGCCTCCATCCCTCTTGCTACCCTACTGCGGTCTAAGCTAAGTAGCTTCCAGCTGCTTAGCTCCACTGCCTCACAACAGGGAAAGCAGGTTTTCACAGCACTGCCCAGCCTCTGCCAATTAGTGGGAGAGAGGGGCTGGCAGGATGGGGGGAGTGTGATATTAACAGCTGCCTTTATATTTAGGATTTTAAACAGACATGGTACAGGCCAGTGAAGTGAGATGAATTCTTCACAGTCATTTCTCTGCCTCATGTGGGAAATAATGAATTCCTGTATTTCTTCCCAGAGTCCCAAATGCAAATACAGATACCAAAATAGATGTGTTTATTCAGCTTTACTTCACCACCAAGAGACCTGAGCTTATTTGGATTCCCAAAGCAATGGCATCAAGTTTAGTAGGTGATGCTGCCTTTAATGATGCTGTCTTGCTCAACATCATACAAAAGCAACAAAAGAGAAAAGACTGGCTGTCTGGGAAAAACAAAACAAAACAAAAAAATGCTTTCTATTACTTAACCCAACATCTCTAAAGACAAATATTTTTGTCCTTTTTTATATATATTTTTTGTCACTATTTATGGGCTGCCTTTTTATTGAAAAATTCTTGGCCTCTTTGCTTTACTAAATATGTAATTATCCATTTCATTTATTATTTACTCTGAAACCATCATGCTCAGCATATGGCTTGTAAGACAGAGTGGGCTCCCTTGGAAACCACACAGGGGCCTCCTGCTTTTAGACTAGCCTACAAATGCTGGCATATATAAGCTGTAAATGCACACACAGACATATGCACACACAGAACACCTTTCTCCAACGAGTTTTTCATAATAAAGAAGAAAAGTCATAGGAGGCAAATTATGTTTCCTGTGAGTGCTTGGAGGCATTTTCTGAACTTGGAAGTAAAATTGTACAACAGGGGTATTTTTCTTCCTCTCTTTCACAGACTTCACTATCAGTACTCAGGAGATTTAATAACATTTGATGGAGATGCAGAGCATGACTGTTCAAATCCAGATGGCCAGGTGTCGGGAACCCTGCTGCCTGAACTCACCCCTCCACACCAATGCGCAAGCCCTGCAGATTTAGCTGCAGTAGTTTAAGGTATCACATGCCACCCTGTGTCCTGCGGTGACAGAAAACCTGGCAGTGACTCATTTCAGATGCTCCTGCTCCGGGACGGGCACCTCCTGCAGATAGGCAGGAGCAAGCAGGGAAAGGAGAGAGAGAAGTGGTGACTTCCCAGCTAAACCTCCCCAAGCACCTGAGCCAGGAGTAATTGCTTAGAAACACAGAGCAACAATTTACAAGCAGGGGTGCTTCCATCTGGCTTGTATGTCATGAGATGGCATCGGCACACACAGAAACTCTCATGTATTTTCTCTGCTGTATCACTGACCTGCCTGTGGCCTGCCTGGACATCCAAAAGTGGGCAGCTTTCATCCATGTGGAAAGCCAGATGCAGTTTGCTCCCTTCTGTGAAGGAGGACCTTGCTCAGCAGAGTGCCCCAGCAAAAGCAAAGAGGCTAAGCTTGGATTCATGAGCCCACAGATAGCCTGCTGTGCTTAGCTACCACTGTAAGCCTGGGATCTGCAGGATTATGTAGCTCTTAAAGATACTGTGGAAGTTGATAGTCTGTGTCTTTGGAAAAAAGAAAGGTCATTTAAAGTGACAGCTACAGGAGATGTTTGTTTTCAACTCTCCTTCTTGCTGACTAGCTGCAAAATGTGACTAAGATTAATATTTCACAGGATCTCTAGATATCCAATGGTTAATGCCTGCACAGTACTTAAAATTGCGAGTTAAATAGTTGGCTTGCTAATGACATGACTGTGAGCTTTAGGAGCAAGAATTACCATATTGTCCTGCAAGTCAAAGCAGGTGCAATACAAGCCCTGTTCTCACTGAAGTCACAGTGTACAGTTTTTAGGGGTCAAGAACTCAACCAGAATTAGCCTGAAAACCTGCACAAACATCAAAGCTGCAAGGCAACAAAATATTCATCAGAATCTGGCTTCAAATCAGAGCCAAAGATGTAAACCCGAGGCTCTGGCACTACAAGCTGCGCTCCATAACACACATCAGTGGCCTGTGCTCAATCCCTGTCCTTCCTTCCGCTTTGCAGCATCTGGGGACCCTTCCCTGGTGGGTTTCATCAAACTAAGCAAATGCACAGGTCAACTCCCTCCCTCCCACACACCACATCCCCCTCCACTTCAGAGAAGTCCTTTCCCACAAGGAAAGTAGCATTCAGGAAAAAGACAACAATCAAACACTTACCCTTTTTCCCAAACATTCAGACAGTTCATTTTTTCCCTTTAAGCTGCCCTTTCTTAACTTAATCAGGTTAGCAGAGGGATTTTTGCCTTCAGTTGTTAAAGCTTATTTCAACCCTCTGCAAGAAAGGGTGTTTGTCTCTAGCCAGAGCACAACAGAGGAAAGAACAGAGAGATCTTGCAATGTTTCGAGCAAGCTGAGCAGAAAGCAAAGCAAAGGAAACGAGCTGTAACACTCACCGGGGATTTTTTCTGAACAGGGAAATCTCCTCTGGGGGGACCATCTCCTGCAGAAATGAAAGCAAACAAAGTTTCCTTGGATTCGTTTCTCTGAAAAGTGTTCATCTCCCCTCTCGCCTTGTCTCCCACCATGCTATGTGGCTGTGGTGAGTTGACTGGGAAGATTTCCAACCTCAGGCATGAAGTTTGATTCAGTTTGAGTTAACCCTAATTGAGCACATTTGTGCAGCCAGGGCAGAAAAGGGAGGGAGAGGCTACCAGGAAAGACAACTCGAGAGTTCAAGAAGAGTCAAGGAGCACAGCCTAAATCATTCACAGGTTGGGGCTGCCAGCACTTTGTGGCACGGACCTCCCTTTTGTTTGGCGTGCCCCCAGCTATTGTACGTGCACCAGCCCAGCACAGCACTGTATGCTGAACAGATGTGAGCTGAATAAAAATCCCTGGTCCCAGATACTCCTACAGCCTGCGGATTTAGGAGCACAGTGTGCATCTCCCTCCCGATGAGGTAATGACAGGCTTATTCTGCAGAGATCTCATTCCACTGAAAAGCCACACATCCATCCCAAGTCATAACTACTAAAATGCTCATCACACCAAACCCTCAGACACTGGGTGTCATGGATGCCTGCACTGTGTTAAATCATTTCTTTGCTATCCCAGGCGTGATGTGACACAGGGTTCATTCCCACATGAATTCCTTGAAATGACCTTGCCTTTTCCTATGGGATCGTTTAATCCAGAGGGCACAGCCAGCACCCAGGAGCAGCCCCAAACCCTGTCTCGACTTCCTATTATCCAAAAGGCCACCTTGGGGCTCCCTATGTAGCAAATGCATCCTATGCTGTGCTGAGAGCCCCTGCATTCCCCCTGCAGCTACACGGGCTCAGTTTCCTGCAGGTACCCTGTTGTCCATCCTTCCATGCCCTTCCCATGGGAACAGAGGAGTTCTTCATCAGTATTATTCCAGTGCCAGTTTCAATTACAGAGCAAAATTCACAACCTTCCCATCAACTATCCTCAGTGCCTTTGGCTCTGCAGTATTCGCAGTGCAGTGCTGGCATTTTTTTCTTCCTCTTGCATTTGGCTTCTTTAAAGACAAATGTTCAAAGAATTTTCCCAAATATTTCTCCCTTCTTTCATCAGCAAAAGTACAGACCATACCCAAAATCTGCAATTGATACAAGGAGTCTCCATAAACTCATACCTAGCTCCAGTACCAAGCTGCTTCTAGTGCTTGGGTATCACAGGACTTTGCAGTTGACAAACCAGGAAAGAGACCTTTGCTTACGCCACAGATCCTTAATTTGGCTGCAGTTATTGCTAACAAGACATGGAGAATATTTAGATAAGGGACTCAGATGTGACATAGTGCACATAATCACTTCCCACATTCCCGCATGTGCACTAGCTCTGCTTCCACTGAAGATCCCCAGGGATCCCATTTCACTCCTGCTAACAGAGCAGCTAAATATGGGGCCAACAACCCATGGGTTTTTGCGTTTTTTGGGGGGTGGGGTGGAGGGTTTGTTTTTTTAATACTAGCATGAAAAACCATATCAATCACTGGGATTAACACACTACTTGTCAAATACACTGTAGAAACATTTAGGCCATTAGCTGCCAGAAGGTTTTCTGAGACAGAAAGGGACAAAAAGAATTCAAATGTCTGGTAATAAATGGCAACTCATGGCAAACAGCAAGAACAAGTTAAAAAGAATAAATCTGCAAGCACCTCAGATACAAATGAATTCAAAATAACACTTGATAGAAAGAGACCTGTGAGACTGGGCTGAAAATCAGGAAGGAACTGTACCACAAATGGAAATAAGGTGGCATTTCTAAAGACAAGTATAAACAAACAGATCAAGCATGGAGAGATTGAGGCTGTAAACCTGAGGCACCAAATGAATTACAGCTAGCAGAAGGACACAAAAGGCAATAAGAAAAGGTGTTAGAAAAGCTGTCAATATTGAAGAAAGAAGAAGGAAAAATGAAAGTCTGTTATTTAAACTAGAAAACGAGCAAACAAAAGCTCACCCAGAGAAGCCAGAAAAATTGTGTCCTTTTTGTTTGTCTTCACTAAAAAAAATAAATTACAACAAGATACATAACACCATTAAAATGAACCAGTAGGAATATGGGTGAAATGAGACATAAAACGCTTAAAGAATATTTGGATACCTCAAATGTGCTCAGATCATTAGAGCCTGATGCAGTTCACCTTCAAGTGCTGACTGTGGTATTGAACCACTTCCCTTGTGAAGGACAGAAGCAGGACAAGCATCTCTACCGCCTTTAAAAAACCTAGCCGTATTCCTTCATAGCCAGAGAGATACTTGATCAGTTAATCCTTTCTAAGCACCAAAAGGAGAATAAGGATTACAAAAGAGCCATTTTGGATTGGAAAAAATGCTCTCAAACCAGTCTGTTTTATTCTTTGTCGACAGGGTAAGTGGTGTAGCAGCTAGAGCAGCTGTGGATGTGATATATCCTACTTCTAGTGTCCCTAATGTCTTGCAAGGAAAAGAGGCTCCAGATGAAACACCTATATAGTGGGCAACTGGGAAATCCCTCTCAGAGTAGTTATCAATGATTTTCCATCAGATTAGGAGGGCATGAGACATGCAGGTCCTCAGCTTTTCCATGAGCAAAGAGAACATCAGCACAGCCAGTGTGCTGCTCATGTTTGTGTCCAAAACTAGGATGGAGAGGCCCGGGGGAGAGCAAGGTATGAATTCAAAATTATGTTGCTAAATAGGAGAAACCACCTTGCAGCTCTGGAATGAAAAAGATGAAATTCAGGGAAAAAGACTACCAAATGCTACCCCACCCATTGACAGGAAAAGCAGCCACAGAGACCAGCTACTCTCCATTTTCATTGAGGATGAGAAAAATAACTGACTTTATTTTCAGTAAAAAAGATTTGGGGCTGCTTTTGGCCAAATTCCCTTTCTGCAAGGACAGGTGAGCACTGGAAAAGAGCGTGGCCAGGGCTGCAGGGTTTGGGCAATCCCTAATGCCTGCTGTATAAGAACATATTAGGGACTGGGTAAATACCGGGTCCTGTCCCAGAGCAGGCAGATGGATGAGGTGCCCTCCTGAATGGCTATGAAAATCGTGTGCTAAACAACTTCAACTGTAAGCACGAAAGCAAGGACTGCTTTCTCTAAAATGTCCTCTCTTCTGAGTTATCCTTTACGCAAGTGGGGAATCTGCAGGATGAGTCATGCTTAAATGTAATATTCAGCTACCAGATGCCTTGCATAGCCAGGAGTTCCCATTAATACATTTTTCTATGACTTTCAGTTCATCATTTAATTTTTTCTGGTTCCCAAACCCACAGGAAGACAATCTGCATTTTCCCTTTGCATTTACAATCCTCAGGTTCTCACCGCTTCCTGCTGCAAAACTGTGCACATTAATCTGTTTATACTCAACTGATCGCTTCATTTTTATCTGCATTCATCTTGTGGTACAATTCCTTTTTGAGTTTCATCTCAGCCACACTGGTTTCTTAATAATGAGTCTTATTTTGAATTGATATTCACTGGCCATACTTTTATAGCCCTTTTACCATATCTGTGTTTCTCTCCTCTTTCTCTCTTTCCACGACAAGGTTATAAGAAGCTAGGTGAATGTGTGCCAGCAACACTTTGGTCTTAATGACCTGACCCTGGATAGACAAGATAACCTCTCCAGGTGTCTCTGGTTTATTTTCTCTGATTCTTTGATTACAGAAAAGAGCATGGCTTAACCAATTTAGACAGAGCAAGGTTTCCATTGCCTGCAGACTTGTCTCAAACTTCAAAGTAATTTAAGAAAATGATGTATCAAATCACTTGAACAACCAGAAAAATATGCCAGATGTCTTCAGACCTGTATTTCTTCTCTAGCCACTAGCCCTTATAGACCCAAAATTGTAAAGGTATTTAGATTAATACCACTAACAATATCAAGTAGCTAATCTGTATTTAAGAGCCTGTCATCTGGTCACTAGTCAACCTGTAACAATCAGAGAAACTTCTTGTTCCTCCTGGTGCTTTTTTGCCTTCAGTATCTTCTATGATTAGCAAGAAGAAATCTTTAAAAAATTCTCTCACCAGCTTGGGTTTCCATTGCAGCCTGCAGCATGCCGTCCCCCTCTGCCATGCCCGCTGCTTCCTGCGCGTTGAATGACCCCAGCTCTGTTGCACCTGAAGATGAACCTCACTGAGCAATCCTGGCTTGCTCTCACCCTGCTGTTAATGTTTCACTTCACAACAGCAGTCCTTTGGTCACTAGTAAAATAGTTAACTTTCATTTATTTTTTTAATCTCGAAGTCAAACTGAAGTCATCTTTGTTCAGCTCACAGATATAATAGGGAATCTGCCTTTCTCCTTGAATACAGCCTCTAAGGCTGCATGGCATCTTAAGTGGATGTTCATGATCAATCACTTTGCGCTGCAGCTACCCTATCTTTCAGTAAAATTGCTACTTCTGGATGAGAACAGGGACTGGACCTCTGACTAGACAGGATACACAGCTGGCCATAAATCCAAACTTTTGATGCTGTACACCAGCTACAGAGCTGGTCTTAACTATACGTGTCTTTTTGTAGTTACGGCTGTGAGAAGACACAGGTTTTCATCACCTTTTGACAGACTGGCTGCAGTTCCTGATTCTTCATGTGTCACACAGGAATGCAGATATAACATTGACATACTGTCCTCCCAGACCCTTTTTCACCTTAAAGCCATGAACTGCCTGAAGGAGGATCAACATTTTTTCTACTGCATTTCTGCTGTTTATTCCTTTCTGCTTTCCCCCATAACCTCCTCTAAACTGCTGTGACTTCCTTTCAGAGAGGCATCTCCTCTGCAGGTGAAAGCCCAAGATATTTTCTGCAGATACAGAAACAGCTCACAGTGAAATTCTGTATGTTCAGCAGTAGAGCAAGATGGGTTCTCCATCATCACATGTCCTGTGCACATGGCTCTGAAGCCACCTGCGTCCTTCCCCTCTTCATTGCACTGAAATCCCAGTCCCACCTGCTTCACGGCCCCATATCTCTTATCATCACCTCAATACACAAAATACAGTCAAGGCTACAAACAGGCAGCTCCTAATGAACTCTGCTATTAGCTGAACAAA